AATTGTGAAGGCACAAAAGTGGGTTGTCAGAGAGAGGAAGGCCTTCCTCAAACAGGGGGTCGGGAGGCCTCTCTAGGACTCCCGAGATATTTGAGGGAGCCCTGAGCGGTGAGCAAGCCTCCAGACTCTTATCAGGGGAGGGGCGTCCCCGCAGAGGGAACCTCAGGAGCATGAAGTGGCGCTCTAGAGCTGGTCGGGACCTCAGTGTACATGGGAGGAACACGCGGCCCAGAGACTGGGAAAGATTTGCCCACAGACAGCAAGTCGGTGGAACCTTCGAGGGGTGGAGGGTCAGCCGAGGCCCCTTGCCACCTCCTGGAAGCCAGATAACCGCCTCGCAGCCAGACCCAAGAGCGGTGAGAGGCGGAGACCAGAAGCGAGAGGCGTGAGACTAAGGGCGGAGCGAGCTGCGGCCGGACCCCAGAGGGGTGGGGAAAAGGGGGCAGGGGCGGTCCCGATGACGTCATTTCCGGGGCCGGGGGTTTATAAATTCCTGCAGTACCAGAGCCCAGTGAAGAGAGGCTGGTGGGTGGACAGACAGACGGACGCAGCCTGGAAAGCTGAGACCTCCGCCCCCAATCCGCGCCAGCGCCGCCACAACCCGCCCCCAGGCCGCCCGTCCAGCCAGCCCTCGCCAGGGTGCCTGCCGTGCCCGGCCCCAGACCGCCAGCTGCTCGGCGCCTCGGGATCGCCATGCGCTCCGCCGCTGTCCTGGCGCTTCTGTTGTGCGCCGGGCAAGGTGAGCGAGCGCGGGGTCTCGTGGGAGAGAGTCCTCGGCGCCCCTGCCTGCCCTGAGGTCCAGGCCCCGCGCAGCGCCGCGCGCCCCTCGTCCCTCGTCCGTCCCCTCCCGCGCGGCGAGTTTTCAGCACCGCGGACAGCACCTCAGCCTCCCTGCTGACCCCGAACCCGCAGACCGGACTCTTTGGGCCTGACTTCTGACCCCGCGGGGCAGGACCCTCTGGCGCCCCCACCCCATATCTGGGCTCGACATCTCGACTGCATCTGGGCTAGTTCTGGCCCCGTGCTATGGCTGGCCAAGGTCACTGGGGGAGATGGGAGAACCCTTGCTGGCTCCCACTCTAGCCTCTCTTTCTCTTCTCTCCTCTTGCTCTCCCCATCTTTCCGCCCTTGGCTTCTATCTCTCCGTATCATCTCTCACAATCCTCCTCCTCCTCCTCGTCTCTTTCCCCACACCTCTGGGGTCTCTCTTCCTCTCCCCGCTTCCTTCTCCACCCCAATCCCACTCAGTCGCTGGCCTTGTTTTCATAGCACTAGCCTTCAGCTCCCCGCCCCGCCCCCCCAGCAGGAGCTCTCCCAAAGGGAAGCGTTAGGGAGCTCAGTGCAGCCTCTGGGGACCATCTCCGTGGGGGCAGCCGCCAGGGAAGGGAAACAAAATCAACCCCAGCATCTCATTGGGTGGGGGCAGTTTTGAGGGGGGGCACTGGGGTGAATGGGCCCCCTATAAACCCAAGCCAGGGAAGGACTGCGCTCGCCCCTCAGAGCAGAGGAGTCACCTCAGCACTCTTTTTCTTCCCAGTCATTGCCCTTCCTGTGAACAGCCCTATGAATAAAGGAGACACGGAGGTAAGAAGGGGTACGGGGATGCCCCGGGATGGTGGGTAGGAGGCTCCAGTGGACACCTCACAGCCAGGTTTTGGGTAGCTGCAGGAGTGAGTCTGGCATAAAGCCAAGAGCCAGCACTGCGGCTGCTGAGCCTGGGGACAGCTTGCGAAAGAAGATATCAAAGATTGCTAGATTTCCCTGCCATCCTGCTGTGGGGACTTCCCCAGCTCCCTCCGAGCTGGGTATGCTGCCGATGGGGCCTGTGCCTTAGCTACTGGGCCAAGGTGTCAGGCTATAGCCTTGAACGCGCCAAATCTGGCAGGCCCAGGCTGAGCTGCTGGGGGGTGCTTCCTGTGGTTGTGGGTTGTGGCTGCCACAGATCTGCAAGGACGGTCTTCACTTCTCTGGCTCTGGCCTCCCTCTTTGATCTTCCCCCTCCTCCCAAGGCTCTGCTAGCAACCCCCGCCCCCTAGGCACTCGAGCCCTCGATCTCCCAAAGGGTCACAATGAAAACACTCTTGATCACGGCTTCTATACCCAGGGTCCTGGCCATTTGGGGCTGATGGTGGATGTCCCTCAGGAAAGGGCCTTAGGAGATACTAGTGGGGGGCTCTGCAGCCAGCGAGACACTCTCTATTGGGTGTATACTTGGAATTCATTCATGTCTGGGCTGGGGCTGTTTTTCCAGTCTCTGGTGCTTGCAGATACCCCCACTTGCGACCCAGAGAAATTTCTACCCGTCACCTTCTCAGGAGCTGTTTTCTTCCATTCTGAAGAGGCTATGGTTCAACCCAAAACATCAAAGCAATTCCAACCTCTGTTTGCTCAATTATATTTCCTGTGTTTTACTTGCAGACAAGCCTGTATAGAAGTCTCTACCGCTCTTATACTGTTCGGTCTTAGTAAAATTCCTTAACTTCTCTGAGCTTCCCCTCTTCCCATCTACAGTATTTCCCTTGAGGGAAGTTGTGAGAGTAGGAATCATAGATGTAAGGCACCTGGCAAATAGCAGGTCCTCAGTTAATGGGCACCTTAGGGTGCTTATTATTATCCATAATAAGGAGCTCTGAAGGGAAACCCTAAGGTGCCCATTAACTGAGGACCTGCTATTTGCCAGGTGCCTTACATCTATGATTTATCCATATCCAGTTCCTCTCTCCCAAAATCTGTCCTCATGGACTGGTGGTTATCTGACATTCCCAGTGTAAGGTCCATGGATGCAGGGAGATGCAGGGTACAGGCTGCAGGGTTCTTCTTACCAGATCCTTTATGGGAGACACTTCGGTCCCCATACTCTACCCGGCAGCCAGGGTCGGGAGCACCATAACGTCTGGTGAAGACATAAATGTTCCATCCTACGATGCTGTGACTACTGTAGAGCCTGTTTGCCAGTTTGCCATCCTGAGTTTTTGGATGGGTTGCTTTGGCATCCCATCGACGCGGCCTGCCACCCCCTCAGTCCCCACCAGCATTGCCTGGTGCATGTCTGACACCTCCCGATTTCCTGTCCTGCTCTAGCAGCTGAAGCTGGTTGGAAGCTGTGAATCCCTCCCTTGGTGTGTGTGGCACTTCGCGCTTTGTAGAGTGTTTTCCCATCTGTTTCTGATCACCCTGGGAGGGGAGTTGGGAAAGTCTTCTCGCTCTCATTGTACAAATGAGCAAATTGAGGCTCAGAGAGGTCAAGTCATGTGTCCAAGGTCACTCAGCTAGGATACTGCACTGCAGTTGGCACGACCTTCAAAGATCCATTTATCAGCTGCCTGGTTATCCACAGCACCTTGCTGGGCACTGGACAAAACTTTCAGAGATCTGACTTCTGTTGGCCTGGGATGGATACCCAGATGTAGCTGATGTGTGCCCACATCCAGCCACAGGATTCATCCCATGGGGAAACACAGCCAAACCGTGAGGCTGTCACTCCCTGCATGTGACAACATCATGGGTTTTGGGAGACAGTGATCCAAGTCCTGTTTTCAGGCAGGGTAGAGCCAGGGAAGGTCTTTGTTCTCTGGGCCGTCCAGAAATACTTCCTGGAGATAGTTGACTTTGGGGGCATCTGTAAGACTAAAGTACTCCTGCAAGACATACCTTAACGCCCAGGAGTGGCTCACCCATCTTTAGAGAACCACTTGGTACCTGGTACCAGGTACTCACCCCCACCATGTCCCACCTTAGAGGGGCAGCTGCTGGCCAGATGATTAGAGCACCTGGCATGTGGTAAATACCATTCTATGATCGCTATTATTGTCTGGCTAAGAATGCAGAGCTGTGCCCCTGAGACAGGAATCCATGGGCTTCTGAAGACAAAAGCAAATGCCCCTATATTCTCATTAGAAATTTGCCCTGGAGTCTCGGGGGCTGAGCCCCATACACAAGCCAAGCCCAACCTGCCCCCACTCTCTCCCTAGGTGATGAAGTGCATCGTGGAGGTCATCTCTGACACGCTCTCCAAGCCCAGCCCCATGCCTGTCAGCCAGGAGTGTTTCGAGACACTCCGAGGAGGTACGGGCTCTGCTGGTCGGCTGGGGGGGGGGGGGGGCGCGGCTACTGTCTGTGGGGCCGGGAGGTGAGGATATGGGTGTGTGGCTTTGCGCAGAATCCAGTGATCAAGCACCTGCCCTGGCCAGGTCTGGGCTAGTGTCAGGGAGGTAGAGAGATGAGGGGGTCACAGCCCCGTGCTCCTGGAGCTTACAGACTAGCAGACGGAACAGATAGGAACACAGTTAACTAGAATTCTGGGCAGGATGAACCCAGGGCTGGAACAGCAAGCCACCTTGTCCACCCTGTGGACAGAGATGTTGTGTTGCTATATCCCCAGAGCCCAGGAAAGCTGCCGGTACCTGGCAGACAATCTATAGGCTTGTGATGACTAAAGGAGCGTCGTAGGTGGGCATGGCAAGGACAAAGTGTTTCCAACCAAGCAGTCAAGCTTTGCCTAGCTGTTGGAGGGCTCCACCATGAGCACTGGGGTTGGACTTTCAGAGAAAAGTTGAAAATCAATAGAAAAAATCAAGAAAAGGGTAGTCCAGGTGGAGTAGACCCTTGAGCAGACACGGAGATGGGAAAATGTGGGGCAGAGACACCCCTCCCTCTCCGGAGGGCCTGCCATCTCTCAGGTGAGGTCTGGGGGCCAGGCCGGCGGCTGACTTTCTGAGGCTGTAGGAAGCGTCGGCTCCTTGGGAAAGAGGCCACCTCCAAAGTGGTATCTCAAGACCTGATCTTGCAGCTGCTACCCAGGTTTTGAGTTTCCAAAATAAATTCCTTGTGCTCAGCTGAAAATATTGATGGTAATCTCTTTCTCGGCTCTTCTCTGGAAACCACCCATAATGACTCTCCTTCACTGCAGATGAGCGGATCCTCTCAATCCTGCGACATCAGAATTTGCTGAAAGAGCTCCAAGACCTTGCTCTCCAAGGTATTTTCCAGTCCCTGAATAGGAATCTGGGTAAATTCCAGTAATTGAGAGAAAACCAGGGTGGAAGTTTGTGCAAGGTCCTAGTTCTCTCTGATTTGGTTATTTCCTTGCAATTATAGAAAGGTGGGCTCCTCCCTGCCACCTGGTCCAATTTGTCATTGATACAGCTAAATAGATTAAGGCCCAGAGAGGTTGAGTGACTTGTCCAAGGTCACACAGTAAGTTAAGGACATGCTAAGACCAGATGCAGCTCGCCTAATACCCCGCCATCTCTAGCGATCAGTCATTTAGGTGGAGGCACTTTTAAGACTAGGTTGCAGAGAGGATCTCTTTCTTCTGTTAACTGAAGAGCAAACTGGTCTCCAGGAGAGAGGAGGAGCCCCTTTCCCCTTGTGAGCTTCTTCTCAAGGGGTAGATGGGGGAAGCAAGGTCTTGCTTGCCCCCAAAACACAGACCAGACTTTCAGCATGTTTTAGAATAAAATAGGTCTTTTTCTAAGAGATTAAGAAAATCCACTGATACTCTTGGGAATGGAGTGACTTTGTGAGGTAGTGAGCTCCTTGTCACTGAGGATATTCAAACAGAGCCTGGACAGGAGTCTGGGATGGAGTGTTAGGCTGATGTCATCCCACAGATGCCCACCCCCAGATTCCTTCGTGGATTCATGGGAGGCACAGAGACAGACTCCCTGGGGAGTTGGAAAAAAATGGGTTCTGGCCCTGCATACGCCCCACGCTGATGCCCTGTGGGAAGCGGCTGCTTATCTGGGGGCAGGCCCCTGGCCCTGGGCCTCTCCCTGGGCACGGGCCCTCCGCCAGGAATCGCACATCGGCTTCCCAAGGAAGTGAGGGCCTGTCTTCAGGGCTGGGCTTCAGTCTTGGGTGGGGTGGGGTGGGAGGCACAAAAGCTGCTCCAGCTCGGGGGCGCCCCCACTCTGAGGCCCTTGGACAGACCAGGCCACCTGTGAGAATGGGTGCTGGGAGTGTGAGGTGCGTGCCTGGCACAGAGTGGGTGCTGGCTGGGCCCATGACTATCACTGCCTGTCTTATTCATTTCATCTTCGTTGACCCTGGTGGGGTTTTTTTTAGCTAAACATTAAATATTTTATTGCAATATGATAATTTAAAAATTACATATTGAATGACTAATGTATTACATTTAAATAATTAAATACAGTGTCAACAGAGACTGTTATAGGAGGATGTGTCCTGAAATGTCCGCATACACACAGATGCGTGTGTATCCGTTAGGAGCAGTTTTCAATACGCGACCATATTACTGTTTTCTATTAAAAGAGGACGGGACATAGCTATGTGTCTGTCTGTCCGTCCACCCACCCAGCCATCTGTCCACTCCCTCTTCTGCACTCTCAGAGCGACTTCTGCATACATCTGTCTTAGCGCTTCCCAAGCAGCACCCCTGTCCTGTGGGTGAGCACCCTCAGCTCGGAGAGCTTGGGTTACCCAAGATCACATAGTGAAGAATGACCAGGAGGTGTGAGCCGAGGTCTGCTTGGGGTCAAGTCCGGGCAGGTGCCGCCGCGGCAGGTGCCTCTAGCCACCCCAGAAATTCCCAGCGTGGGGAAAACCGCAGCAGCGTCTGCAGAGTTGGCCTGGCTGAGAGGCCATCGTCTGGAACCAGGCACGGATGGGGACAGTCCGGGGAGGTAGCAGCAGTCCGGGGCCAGTGCAGGGAGAGGGATGCATGGATCACAGCAGCAGGTGGAGCTCAGGTACCTGCTGGACCTTCTCCCAAAGAGACTTACGGGGTCCAGGGGAGCAGGGCTTGCCTGGTTCAAGGTCCCCCATGAGGGGACAGATGAGCAGTCACTGTGATCTCCTGCTGCAGGGTCCCCCTAGCTACCAGCCAGGTGCAGAGGGCCCCCACTCTCTGCTCCCACCCCTGGGACCCTCTGCTGCGAGTCTCTGTTGCTGTCCAAGGCAGCAGATAAGGCTTGTTTGCATTTCCCAGGTGAGAAACGTGAGCATGGAGAGGTGCGGTGGCTGCCTGATGGGCCCCAGCTGGGAGAGGGCAGGGGCAGCCAGCAACCCCCCCCGCAACCTGGAGCTCTTGCCCCCTTCGATGTCTTGTTCAGCAGGCTTGGAACATGACGTGCCCAGTTTACAGATAAGGAAATGGAGGCCTTCACGCTCACAAATATGCCAGGGTTGGGCTTGGCCAAATAGGACTTTCTCTCCTTTCCCTCCCTCCCTCCCTCCCTCCCTCCCTCCCTCCCTCCCTCCCTCCCTTCCTTCCTTCCTTCCTTTCCTTCCTTCCTTCCTTCTTCCCCCCCCCACCCCTTTTCTCATACCAGGTGCCAAGGAGAGGGCACATCAGAAGAAACACAGCAGTTTTGAGGATGGACTCTCAGACGCTCTTGAGAAGCAGAATGACCAGGCGGAGCTGAAAGGTCAGTGCCGGCCAGTCTAGCCAGAGGCTGGGGAGCGAGGAGATAAGTAGTTACAAGATCAAAGATTCCTAGGGGTCAAGGAGCCCCTCCTTTAGGCACTGTAAGGTACCTAGCTATCATTTCGATCTTCCCTGTACAAATGGGGAAACTGAGGCCCAGAGAGATTTAAGTACCTTGTCCAAGATAAGCAGCATAACTAGAGATGGGAATCTGGGTCTGTCTCACTACAGAGCCCTAGGGTGGTCCTGCCTACCCACCGCAGGGGCTCACACTCGGGGCAGGTTCAACGCTGGATCTTCCCAGAGGCCACTGCAGCAGGAACCCCCCACCCCCACCACGCAGCACCTGTCCTCCTGGGATTTGGTGGTGCCTCAGCCGAGTCTTGTTGTAGGAAGATCCCGGAAGAATAGGTCTCAAATACTAAATGAACCTGGATCATCTTTCTTGAAGCCAGAGAGCTTCTAAAGGTCAAAGAGATCATGGCTTAGGTCAAGGGGATGCCCTAGTACTCATCCCCCTGCCTGGAAACAGCCACGAACTGCCCCCGCAGGGCCTGCTATTTGCGTGTGGAAGGTGGGTGGATAGGCCAGCTTCTAGGATCAGGGATCTCAGTGGACTTCCATCTGGGGCACCTGGAAGCTTTAATGGGAGAGGTAGCTATGCGTCAGCACAAAGAGCACCCTGTACTTGGCATTTGGAGACTTGGATTCAAGGCCCTGCTGCTTACAGGCTGTGAGCATGGACAGGTCACCTGACCTGCCCGAGGGTCAGGGAGAGCTTCTGTAGACAGGATGGGAACACTCTCACCCGGGGTCCTGGACAAACGGTGGAATGTACTAGACAGCACTTGGTCCAACAGTCCTCATTCTAGGGTCGGGAGGGATTTTTACTGTGAAAAGGCAGCCACCAGAAAATGCTTTTTAATGAAACCGTACAAATAGGAATTGAGCACTTCCACAGGACACTCAAGCCCCACGTGGAGGAGAGAATGAAGTTGCAGTAATGGTGCCTCTTACACAGAGAGGTTAAGGTGCCTGCCCAAGCTCACACAGCAATTCAGCTGATGTCCTAATTTTCGATTCTGAGGTCACTTTCAAGGTGTTTTATTTTGTTTTTTTTAAATCACTTCCTGCTTTAAGAAGTAGAATCCCAAAGAAAGAAACATAAGCCAGTTGTGCTCAGGTCAAACCCAGACACAGAGCAGGTGACACTAATTCTATCATGAGTATCATGGGCCAGACTGGATGGAAGCCTAAAGATACAATGACCAAGTTCTGAAATCGGGCTCTCAGGAGACCCCGTGTGCAGCCTGGTCCTCAGGACCTGACTGTTGTTTCCACAGAGGTGACGGGCGAGGCGTCCCCCAAGGATGCTGCGGAGAAAAGAGAGGATTCTAAAGACACAGAGAAGGGTGGAGACACAGATGGAGCCAGGCCCCAGGCCTCCCCGGAGCCTGGCCAGGGGTCAAAGGTCGAGGAGGACAGCCAGGCCCCGGGGGAGCAGGAGGTCGCCAACACCGACCCCCCAGACAACCTTCCCAGCCAGAAACACCCAGGCCCACAGGCCGAGGAGGACAGCAAGAGCCTCCCCCAGGGCCTGGCGGACAGAGAGAAGGGCGTGGGTGCGGAGCGAGGGCAGCAGGCCAAGCGAGAAGAGGAGGAGGAAGAGGAGGAGGCCACAGAGGCTGGAGAGAAGGCTGTCCTTGAAGAAGAAAGCCCCACCGAGGCATTTAACCCCCACCCAAGCCTTGGTTACAAGGAGATCCAGAGGAGTGAGAGTACGTATGATGTCTGCCACCTTAACAAGTGTGTCCGGGAAAGGGGGAGGGTGGGAAGGAGGACCACATCCACAGTTGCATCCCACCTTCACAACAACCCTGCAAGGTAGGTATTGTCTCCATTTTCCAGATGGAAAAACTGAGGCTCAGAGAGGTTAAGTAATCTGCCCAAGGTCACACAGCTAATTTGTAGTAAAAGCTGAGATTCCAACCCGGGTTTGTCTGACTCCAAAACCCTGCATCTCCCACTATTCCTCATAGCCCCTCCCCTCCAACCCAGGAGACCGAGAGGGGCTTTGCAGGGTGGGTGGGCTTCAGGAACGGAGGGACGACGGCATGACAGGTGCAAACAGGCTGGTCTGGGGACAGTCTCAGCTTCACCCAGGGTTTAGGAGAGCCCCTGGCTCCTCATGAGGGCCTTGTCAGGGTCTTTCCTCCCTCCCCAGCTGGGTGGTTCCTGGGTCAGGGGCTTCTTGGGGAGAGAGGGCCCACAGAAGAGACAGGCTCCGGCCAACCCACCCCTCTGAGCTTGGAGGGTCTTGCAAAGCACGCTATCAAGATGGCTTTTTCCTCCAAGTGGAATCATGGACCCTAAGTGTGGTCTGTGGTCACAGCGATGGCCACAGAGAGGCTCCAGGGAGTGGCAGGGACCAGGAAAGCGGTGGTCCCTCCTTCATTCTCCCGCTCTTGTCCCAGTTCCTCCAGGTTGGTCCGAGGCTCTGGCTGTGGATGGAGCCGGGAAGACTGGGGCTGAGGAGGCTCAGCCCCCCGAGGGGAAGGGCGAGCGGGAGCACTCCCGGCAGGAGGAGGAGGAGATAGCCGAGGCCCCTCAAGGCCCCTTCCGGGACGGGAAGAACAGGGAGCTAGAGCCAGAACAGGAGGAGGAACAGCTCTCCAAGGAGTGGGAGGAGGCCAAGCGATGGAGCAGGATGGACCAGCTGGCCAAGGAGCTGACGGCCAAGCAGCGGCTGGAGGGGGAGGACGAGGAGGATGACCCTGACCGCTCCATGAAGCTCTCCTTCCGGGCCCGGGCCTACGACTTCAGGGGCCCTGGGCTGCAGCTGCGCCGAGGCTGGAGGCCGTCCTCCCGGGAGGACAGCGTGGAGGCGGGCCTGCCCCTCCAGGTGCGCGGCTACCCCGAGGAGAGGAAGGAGGAGGAGGGCAGCGCCAACCGCAGACCAGAGGTTGGTATGGGGCGGGTGCCGGCCCCAGGCCAGGCCTCCAGGATGTGGGCCCAGCTAGACGTGCAGCCCTGCCCCCATCGAGGGCACACAGTCCGATCCCGAGGGTCTGAGACCGGAGAAGCACACAGACGGGGGTGCTCTCGGGAGCAGGGCAGAGCTGGGGCAGGGGCAGGGGCAAGGGCGGGTCAGGGCAGGGGGGTGAGCGCAGCCTGGCTCACAGGCAGGCAGGAGAGGGAAATGTTCAGAACAGGTCATGGGAGCAGGAGAGGTAGGGAAGCCGATCCCTGGGGTCTCCGGGTCTCTGTCCCGGAGGTGATAGGCTCTGCAGGTTTGGGGGTGGAGCAAGAATGGAGCTGTGGACAGAGGGAGCTTGGAAAGGAAAGGACCTGGCAGGGTATGGTCTTGGGGGGGCGTCCCACTGGCCCTGAGAGCCACGAGGGCCTGGGAGGAGGGGTTGTGAAAGAACAGGTGGCGTCCTGGGAAGCCCCAGGGAGCAGGTTGATCCAGCAGCATCCTATCCTGGCCTCCAGGCACACCCTCCTCCTAGGTTCAGACCCGGCCTCCCCCACCTGGGGCAGGGTCAGGACCAGCGGGACCTCGGTGCCTGGTGGTGAGTGGGTGAGGGAGGCACAGATGCACCAGAAGACCTGGGTTCTGCCTCTTCCTAGCTGTGTGACCTTGGGTGGGTTTCTGCCCTCCTCTGAGCCTCTTTGTTTCCCCCAATTGAGAAATAGGGGTAAAGAGTCCTTTCTGCTTACCTTATTATTATGGTCAGAACACACGTGACCTTTCCAAAACCTGGCCATGTCCAGGGATACTTGGTTAGCTCAGTGGGGTGCTGGGACATAGCCCCAGAGGTGAGGAGGTGAAAGTTGGGGTCCCTGGGAGGCAGGCTGGCAACAGCACCTTGGAGCTGGAGGAGGCCTTAGGGGTCTGTGGTCCAGGCCTCAGTGCCCAGATAGGAATCAGGGCCCCGCGGGGGCTGGGACCTCTCCATGGCCCCGGTGCTCTCTGCCCACCCAGAGAAGGATGTGGCCCCTTCCTCGGGTCCCAACCCTCCCTCCACGCTGGGACCAGTTCTTGGAAGCCTGAAAGGAAAAAGACTCCTGGGCAGCTGGAGCTAGGAGAGGTCATCTGTCAATGTCCCCAGGAGACCGCCCTCCAGCCCTAGCTTTGGACCAGGACAAGCCCGGGCACCTTTGATCACCCCCTCCCCCACCCACAGAGGCTGGAGAGAGCAAGGTGCCCTGAGGTGTCTGCAGCTTCCGTTCTCCACGGGCAGAGGGAGCCTGGACTGCAGGGCAGAGGAATGCGGGCCCCAGAGTCATGTGGACAGGACAGGGCAGGGGCCTCCTCCACCCAGCCCGAGGGTCTTCTCAGAAATGCTCCAGCATCACAGAATTCATGCCCCCGGGGCTACTCCAAGACAGAAGGCTCTAGGGCCCCTATTTCCATGACAACCACGTCTGTCTGTTCCAAGTGGCCCCAATGGGTGTCCTCCGGCACCTGGCATCCAGCAGGGACCCCGCAAAGACCACCCTCCCCAGGTCAAGACCGTGTGTGGGGGCATGGCCTTCCCTGACTCCTGCTGAGTCCCAGGGCATGGGCTTGTGGACATCAGTCCTGGCTCGGGGGGTCCTGGAAGCTTCCTGAGGCTGGGGCACAGAGCAGGACTCCCAGAAGGGTCCTCTGCCCTGAACCACCCTGGCAGCCAGAGCTGGGCCCCCCCTATGATGAGGACTAAGGAGCCAGGCCCAGCCCTCAGCAGGGAGAGGCAGGGCAGCTCTCACCCCCTCAAGCCTGTGCCAAAGGCCCACGGCCCCTCAGGCAAGGAAGACTGTCCTCGCCCTCGGGGCCACTGTCACGGTCCAGGCCTTGGGAGAGGGGCCTGGGAGGAGCACTGGAGGGCAATGAGGCTTCGTTTTCCACGTGTCTGCCCAGAGCCGTTCAGGAGGAGGCGGGTCTGGATCTGAGGCCACCAGGGGTGGAGTGGGTTCAGGTCCCCTGGTCCCCCTCCATTTCTTTTTTTTTTTTAAAGATTATTTATTTATTTGACAGAGAGAGACATAGCGAGAGCAGGAACACAAGCAGGGGGAATGGGAGACGGAGAAGCAGGCTTCTTGCCGAGCAGGGAGCCCGATGTGGGACTCGATCCCAGGACCCTGGGATCATGACCTGAGCCGAAGGCAGACGCTTAACGACTGAGCCACCCAGGCGCCCTCCCCCTCCATTTCTTGCACACAGTAACCCTCAGTAATCCCAGCAGGGCAGCGTCTCTGTCCCCATGGTATGAATGAAGGCCCTAAGGCTCAGAAAGGCAAAGCCACCTGAGACCACACAGCTAGCCAGCGGCACAACCAGTCTGGCAGACTGCACCGTCCACACGGCCGGCCCAGTCCCTGCAGGAGCCTTGATGTTCCTTCCTAGGACCAGGAGCTGGAGAGCCTGTCGGCCATCGAGGCGGAGCTGGAGAAGGTGGCCCACCAGCTGCAGGCGCTGCGGCGGGGCTGACACGCCGGCCGGCCCCCTCAGCCAGGGCCCCGAGGCAGCCAGTGGTCCTGGCTCTGTTGTCCCCTTTGCAGGCCCTGGCCAGACGGCCCGGGCGCTGCTTCTGAGAGGCTGCTCCTAGCCTGCCCAAGCCCAGGCCACCCTGTCGCCCCCTTGCTCCTTTCCTCCTGCTCTTGACTCCTGCCCTCGTGCGCCCCTCTGCAGGGCGGACCACCCCCCAGACTTTAAATGGTAATCTTTTTTCTCTGGACACAGGCAGCTTTCTAGAAGTTTCCTTTCCACCGTCAGAGCCATTGGGCACAACTGCAATAACTTCTGACCTTTTGGTGAAAGCTGAGAACTCCTGACTGTAATATATTCTGTACAAAATTTATCTAAGGAAAAATAAATCTGCTCTGGGCTTTCTGGTTTCTTTGGATGTCTCCCCCCTTGACTTAGAGTGGGGTGGGGTGGGGTGGGTTCGGGCAAAGGGACAAGGGGAAGTTTATTTCCCTGGGGCAACTCCTTTCTGGGCTACTTTTTAGTCATGGAACTCAGGGTAAGTGACTTTGCATCTCTGGACATCAATTTCTTCATCTGGAAAATGGGGAGAATACGTATTATTTCCATCATCAGATGATGAGGAGGATTCGAAGGGCCCGAGCAGCCTGGACCATAAAACCATTATGATGATGATACGAGTCCTTTGAAGGAAGGGTCCTGGCAGGTCTAGGCCTCGCCTATGAGGCTGGTGACGGGCTGCCCACCGTCACTAACCCTCCCGAGGCACGGAGGAACGCCCTCCAAAGCTGGTGCCGTAAGGCGTTTATTTCTTCACGTTTCAAGGGTGCAGTCCATCCGTGACAATTACAGAAATACACACAACACCAAACTGTATTCCACGAGGCGGTCAGATACCAAAACATCCGCTACCATGACTAGTTAACAGAGAACATGGGGTCACCTTGTCCCCGAAATAACCCATCCCAAAGATGGCCACCTGTGGTGTCATAATCATGCGGAACACAGGGGTGCCTGGGGGGCTCAGTCGTTAAGCGTCTGCCTTCGGCTCAGGTCATGATCCCAGGGTCCTGGGATCGAGCCCTGCATCGGGCTCCCTGCTCGGCGGGGAGCCTGCTTCTCCTTCTCCCCCTGCTTGTGCGCTCCCTCTCTCTCTGTCTCTGAAAAATAAAATCTTTAAATAAAATCACGCAGAACACAAAGCCCAATTGAAAGAGCCAATGGACGTTTCCTGGCTTTTCCAGAAGCAGTGATTTTTATATACAGTCTGCGTACGCATAGAAACAGTGTGTGCTTGGAGGTACACAATCAAGTACACGGCAGCTTGGGGGTCTGGTTAATGTTGTCGCCCGTGTGTGAACGGGGTCAGAGCATCAGCACTGAACTAGAACCACCAGACTTTGGGTAAAGTCACCATGGGAGAAGCTTTTTGAGGGAAAACAGATGTCGAAGAGGTGTGATCCCACAGACAGCCCTGGAGGAAGAGGTCAGCCAGGCTGTGGGGGACGAGACAGCCCTTCCGAGCCGTCGGGTCACGGATAAGCCTGGAAGTAAAGGGGAAATGCAACCGTTTCTGGAAAAGGCCCCTGGCGGTGTGGGCGGGGCAGGGTGGTCAGAACCAGAAGGAAGAGTGCCCAGGTCCAACCGCGCTGTCCTGTGAACAGTCTGTTTGGGGGGCAGGGGGAGTCGCTCCGAGATCACATTGGCGACGCTGCGCAGAGAGAAGGGGCAGAGGCCCAGGCCCTTCCTCGTGGAGGGCAGGACCAGCGGGAGCATCGCGGGTCTGGGGCCTTGGCCACATCACGTCAGACTCGGGCAGGGCAGGGCAGGGCAGGGCAGGGCAGGGCAGAGCGAGGCGTGCGGCATCAGGGCGTGGCCAGGCTGGCCGAGGAGGAAGGTCAAGGATCGGGGCACTTCTCTGCCCTGCGGTAAGCCACGCGGAGGGGCTGTCGCCTTCAGGACAGCCAGCATGCAGCGCAAGGTCTCTGTAGCTCCGGGCCAGGGCCCGTGGAGGACGAGGGGCTGTCAGGGATGCCACCGGATGATCACTTTCTAGGGCACAGAGGAGAGGCCGATGCAGACCCCAGGGTCACGAGTGAAGCCATTCGTCAGCTGTGTGGCCGGTGTGAGTGCCCGGGCCGAGGACAAGCTTCTAGATTAGGACGAGGACACGCCGTCTCCCTCGGTCTCAGAGTGGCCACGTGGCAGGCAACGGCTGCGTATCCCCGCTGGCTGGAAAGCTCGTTTCTGGTGGGCCTTCAACCTTCCATGAGGCCCGCCGGGCAGGCTTCTGGGTAGAGAGGAACTCTTTCAAAGTTGTTCTCTCCGTTATTGATGGAGGCCCACTGAAAGGATGCACCGGAGAACCCCCTGGGGTTCCAGCTGGGTCTGCCTCCTCCCAGTGATGCAGGACGGCTTCAGGCCCCGCCCACCATGTGCAGCAAACCAAGACACCTCGGTGAATGCCAACGGCAAGGGCGCTACCCCGGGACACTCCCCCGGGGCCCTCTGGAAGAGGTTAGCTACCAAGAGCCTGCACTCAGTCGGGGCCTAATGTCTCTGGCATCACAGCGCTCTAGAATCAAAGCATCTGGAAGCAGAACTGAGCCCCAGGCCTCTGCTCCAGGCTGCCCAGGGCAGAGATCTTGCAAGTGACCCTCTGGACCTACCCAGGGCCTCAGCCAAAATGCTCCTGGAGCCCTTGACATCAGGAGTGCCTCCAGCAGCCCTGGCTGCTGACCGCCACCCAGACAGGTGCCGCAGGGCCGCGGACCCCACCATGCCCACCACCCGGCAAACAGACGCTTGGGATTAGTCCTAACTGCCCTCCTGATTCTAGTGGGGCCATGGGGCCAGCTCCAAGCGATACACATGCACACCGCGGCAGACCCCGCCCTGGGGCCCTGACCCAGGGGTGGCAGCAGCAAGCCTCGGGGAAGGGGCTGCTAAGGCGGGTGCATTTCGGTGGGCCCTTCCCTGATGCAGACACCGCAGGGCCTGAGGGGAAATGAACTCTATGAGCGCCCCGGGATCCAGTGCCGTCGGTGTGCACCCAGCCAACACCGGAGTGGAGGTCGCTGGCTGGTGCCTCCTCCCCACCGATGGCCCCTCTCGTCTCTGCTCCTGAAACCCCTCGATCAGAATGGCCAGTGTTTGCTGGGTGGTGATCACCAGCCGGGCCAGGAGTGGCCTGCTTGCTCCCACACTGGGCCTTCCCTCTCCCTGCACCTGCTGCTCCCAGGTCTTTAAGAGGCGAAAACCACCCCTGCTCGGTTTTGGCTCCCAGAGGCAGTAGTCACCCTGCTTGCCACCTGCATCGAGGCCAGTGGGGAACTGTTACTGGACCTGTGGGCCCTGGACCTGAGCACGTGTGACCCTGGGGGTGGACCTAAGTTACACAGGAACACGGTATGGCCAGGAGCCCCAGCCCAGCATCGGGGGTCACCCGCACCCTCCCCCCACCCGTTCTTGAGGCAGATCGGGATCGGAATTTCATTAACAGACCAGAACGACACAAGCTTTCAGCAACATTTGTAAGCACGTGTGAAATGTAGTTTGATTTCAGTAGTTTATTTTGGAGACAAAGCAGTGCAAGAGGCCAGCCGCGCTTTCCTGCTTCCCCGGGGCTCAGGGTTGGACTAGGAAAGGCGCCGTACAGACATTATAATCGGGGTTCAACACTCAAGTCGTGTAAACGCGGTTAGTCAGTGGGCCCTCGGGTTCCAGGACAGCCGGGCAGTTCCAATGGCACCAGCCCTCACCCCAGGCCCAGCCCTGCTCGATGGCGGCCACCACCCAGCCCTTCCTTTCCGGAAGGTGGGCGACCCCCACGCCCCCGCTGAGCCAGGACTGAAGTTCCCTCCGAGCACCCAGGTCAGCAGCCTCTCTGGGGCCACCCTCACTGGACCTTGCAGGGCAGCCCAGAGGCCCTTCCCGCTTTCTCAAAGTGAACGGATATCTGAAGACACAAGATCATGCTCAGGGGGTCCTATGCATCAAACCCAGGTTCACCTCGTCCCAGGGCTGACAAAGCCTCTCGCTGGCCCCCTTCTCTGTGGAGGGGCAGGTGGGCTGCCCGCTGCACTGTGGGAACGGACCGATCGGCTGGTGGGATCTGTTGCCATCAGGGGCCGGGGTGACGCTCATGGAGGAGGGGGTAACGGCTTCCTCCCCTCTGGGGATCAGCTCCCTTCACACTTGGCTGGCTTAGTGCTTAGGGCTTACAGTGAGTATGGGAGAAGGGTGGAGCGGGCCCGCTGGGCGGGTGTGAAAAGACGTGAAGCGTACAGGCAGCCGCCCCCTCCCGGGGAAGAGGGCCCCCGAGCGCCTCGATGCCAAGCGGAGGCGCAGCAGGTTGACTTCTCAGAGAAGCAGGCTGCACCGCAGGGGCTCGGGCATCAAGCCTGCCCTTCAGAGTGCTCTGGGCTCAACCACTCATCAGAGATGAGGACACAGAGGCCCAGCAACTCCGGGGGTGATTTGTCCAAAGTCACGGCACAAATCCTTGGCACAGGCGGGATCAGCCCGGGGGCTCCCAACCAGGCAGTCTCCTCCTGGGTCCTGGGGAGCAGCGCCTGGCCAGGGAGGGAGGCCCCCCTGCAGGGCTGCACGGGACCCAGGCTGAAGGGCCTGGTGGACCCCAGGGAGCTGGACGTGGAAAGGGGAAGCCAACTCAAGGCCTTCCTTCTTCCCTTTTGTGGGCAGGCAACAGGTGGCCCACAGCCCAGACCCCCCGCGTGGAATCCCCCAAGGAAACAGTGGGTGCACCTCTCACTCCCTCTGGCTCTTGCTCTTGGGAGGGACAGCTGCACACCTGGTTGGGGCTCTAGGCCCCGTTCTGCACAAGGCTGTGGAAGCGGCCAGTCGGAGGGTGACAGCGAGGGGGCCCGGCCCAGGTGCAGAGGGCTTGGAGAAAAGAGAGAGAGAAGGAACCCCTCACTCGCTCTGCTCAGCCGCCAAAAGCCTGCCCCCCTCTGGGGTCCCCGAGGCCTGATCCACAGCAGCCATCGAGACGAACAGACGTGGATGTGCACACACACTCACACACTCGCTCACACACACACACACACACACACCACCTCACATTCAGAACTAGTGTTGAAGACACAGCAAGTGTAAACCCAGTGAAGACATCTGCACAGCAGGTATCAGGCGGGATGTCCATCTGCCCCGAGGCTGGACCACTTAGGGTTCTTTTCCATCTCCCCCTCCACCACCCCTTATTTCAATCATGACATCAGAAAATCAGGTTAAAAATTAAAAAAGAAGAAGAAGAAGGAGAAGAAGAAGAAGACGAAAAAGGAGAATCAGATCGCTGGGAATTCTTAGTAGGAGCGTCACTGCTGGGAGGGGCTGACCCAGCAGGTGCACCCTGCGGCCCGCGCCGCCCTCTGGGTCCCGGGCTCCATGGCTACTGGGAGGAGGCCTTCGTGGCCAGCGAGGCCACGCAGTGCTGCTGGAAGCTGGGGGACACGGCGGCGGTGCAGCCGAGTCTCTGGTGCGGGAGCTTGGTGGTGCCGCCTGGGCCCACGCCGCCCGCGTCGGCCTCCGACGTCCAGGGGGGGTCCGGGCCCATCATGCTGCTGCAGCAGCCGGGGCCGGCGCTGCACGTCCGCTCGCCCGCCAGGCTGCCCGCCTGCTCCGCCAGGAGCCTGCTGTGCCTCAGGGGGGCCACGTCCCCCGCGGCTGCCGTGGCCGTGCTCTGGCCCTGCAGGACTGTGGCCACGTGGTTCAGGAGGTCTGTGAAGAACTCGGTGACGCCCTCGTAGCCTGCGGGTGGGAAAGACAGACAGCACGGGGCGCTGAGCCAGGCTGCGGTGGAGACGGGCTGCAGGCGCGGGGCAGAGCGGGGCGCAGGCTGACCACAGGGCTCGCAGAACTCGAGGAGGGCACGCTCAGGATTTCGAGAAAACCGAGGCTCAGTAAATAAGGGGACACACATCGAAGCCACCAAGCCTAGACTCAAAGTTGGGTGCGGGCGGCCCCAAAGGGCTAGTCCTTGAATTCAGCTGTCCCGAGGGTGTGAGAAGCGGTCACGCCCGGGACAGGCAGACGCCCTGCACCCTGTCCCTCTCACGCACAGCTTCAGTGTCTCGGGAACTCACCCACCCAGTGTGCTAAGATGCACGTGGGGAAGAGGAATGGCAGGGCGGGGCAGGGCGGGGCCAAAGGCCCACTCCTCACGTTCTCAATCACAAACAGCCCTCTACTCCACGTGGCCCAGCCTCAGCTTCCTCCTGTGTAAACTGAGAGGTCTCGGTTTGGAGGCTGCTGTGGGCACGCCCGAGGGGATGCGGGATCGACAGTGGCCGCTCCTGGAACAGAGCCTGCTGCCTCCTCACCCCCAAAATACCCGCGGGGAGGCCCTCTGTACCACGTGCTCGGAGCATCAAAGCCAAAGGACGGAGACTGGGTGTCCCCAGTGGGGCACTGCACCCCCACACCCGTGCCTCTAACAGAGCGGGGCCTGGGGCTGCCCACAGCCCACATTTATTTCCTAACACAGATACGAAGGCAAATGTCAGCAAACACGTCCTCGGGAGCTACCCACCGAGCCGTTTGTCATCTGGGGCAAGGATTCCGCTGACTCCCAAAAAACTGCTTTGGTAGAAATTCAATATGAGTGGGCGCCCTCCCCCCACGCTGAACCACCCTGGAGGCCGGAGGGCTGGGCACACAGCTCCAAGACCAGGACAGAGAGCGTGTGCCCGCCCCGGGAGGGGCTCCAGGCACTGCCGACCGCCCGCACGAACGTGGCCTCCATCAGCAACGTGAGGCCGGTGCTCAGAGGGTGCCAGGACCCTCGCACGTCCTCCAGGAGGGCCCTCCCAGCTGCCAGCACAGCCTGGCTGGGAATGAGCCTCAGAAGTGAGCAGGGCGCAGCCCCTGTCACAGGAGAGCCCATGCGGGGCCAGGCGGCAGGGGCGGCCTCATTTGTCCACAATCTTACTTGCCCGGCAAACAACAGCTATGGCTTTGAGGCGCCCGAGGCTGAGAGGGGGGAGCAGAAGTGCCCACAGCAACGGGTAAAACAGCTGATGAGCACCAATGTCATTCTTCACAACGCTGTCCCCATTTTGCAGATGAGGAGACAGAGGCACAGAGAGTTAAGTGACGGGCCCCATGGACAGGGGAACTGACATGGGCCCGTCAGTGAGCGTGTGGACACCCACAGCCGCTGTTCACCAGGCTCAGGAAGTGCCGGCCTCCAGGCCTCTTCACAGCCGCTGGGGAGGGGGACCCACGGATTCGCCTCGTTTTACGGAGGACACAAGGCTCCCAAGTGACAGAGCCAGGACCTCAATCGGCGCTTTGGTGCCACCTGTGCCTTGACGATCCTGTGGTCCTGGGCGGCCCGCCGAGGCCTGGGGGAGGCCAGGGAGGATGGGCAGGGAGGCGCAGGTGCGCTGCTGGGATCCCGGGATAGAGATGCAGGCAGAGGGCGGAGGGCTGGAGAACAGTCAGGCTGTTCCCTCAGCGACCACTCTGCGGTCCCCAGAAGAGGCCCAAGGCAGGGCATGTGCGCTTCCTGGGGTAGTATGGAGACCCGAGGCTGAACTGGAGGCTAGCGGACGCCCCTGAGGTCAGCCTGACCTGGCTAAAAGCCACACAGCCGGCGCCCCGATGCCTGGGGAGGGCAGACAGAGCGTGAACGAGCGCTGCGGGCCCCAGCTCGGGGCCGGGCACTGTGCCAACGTCCCCGCCTCTGTCTCTGCACGGTGGGAAGCTCTGTCCCCACGGGCAGAAGTGTCCACCCCCGTGGCTTGTCCCGTCACAGCCTGGAAGGGCAGGCCGGGATCTGAACCCTGGCCTTCGGCTGAGAGGCAGGAAGCCTTGTGGTCAGGAGGGCATGGTGCCGCTCCCAGCTCCACCACGTGGTAGCCACAGGACCGGGCTAGTCAGCCAGCCACGTCCCCTCGGCTGAAGGGAGATCTTAACAGCCCACTGCACGCTGGGCTGTGGTGTCGACAAAAGCGGGGAAAGGGCTCTCAGAGCAGGCCTGCTGTGCGGCCAAGAGCTGCGGCTCTTACTACTTCCTGAGCCTGGCATGCAGCCCCCTCGACGGGGACGCTACTGCCCACCCAGGGCCCGACGTGGCCTCCCCTGGCACGCACTCCTCAGGACGGGCCCACGAGTGCTTGCCAACCAAGCCGGGAGAGCCCAGGGAGCAGCCGTCTCCTGGGGAGACGCTCCCAGCGGCGTGCTCCCTCAGGCAGTCTCTGCTGGGCTCGGCCTCAGCCCTCCGGCTGCCTCAGACCCCACCTCCATGCCTGGCCCCACCTGGGCGGCCCTTCTCTGGGCTCCTCTGGGTAGAAGCCCCTCCGCCCACATTGGCTCACAGTCCCTGTCCCTCCTCTGAGCACCCAGGATGCCCTCGTGATGCCCAGCCCAAACTGCACAGGCTGGGAGGGGGCCGGCTCAGGACCTTGCACAAAGCCAAAGCTCAAGTGCAGAGCTCCATGCTCTCACCATCTCCCATCTCCATCTTTCTAGAACTTCTACCCTGACAGCCCTACATTACCCCCTCCTTGTCCCACCAATCCTCACGCTTGGCCACCGCTAACCATGTCCTCCCTGCTTTAGATCCTCTCATTTATTTTCATTGTTTCCCCTGACACGCCCTGGATTCCCTTGGTCTCTCTCATTCCGTCACTTACTCATCAAAACCCCACCTCTGCCAACACCCAGGTCCTCCATGCAGGCTACACCCAGGGTGACTGGAGAAACACAGGCCATTGTCCCAACACTGGCCTCAGTGCCTCACTCTTACCTAGCTCAGAGTGAAACTCCACGTTCTCACCACGCCTCTGGCCTCCTTGTCCCAGCCCTTCCCAGAGGCCTTAGGAGGTAGCTCCTTCCCTTCCTCTGAGCCGTGGATCACGCCGCACCCGCGTGTCTGGACCAGCTGGGACACACAGTAGGCCCTCAAGACTGAATGGCAGAAAGAGCCGGTGGTGTCCTCCCAGCCTCGGTTTCCGTGGCTGTGACTTGCGATGGTGGCTGGGCCTAGCTGCATGCTGAGTCAAGGGACACACGTCAAGCACCCAGCCCGATGCCCAGGAGCTGCTCAGCCTGTGGTCGCACTCCATGCCCCATGCAAAAGGCCTTACCCTGCGCCCTGCACACACCCTCTGAGCACTCCATACATGCCACGCTTGGGCTCCCCCACAAGATGCTAATCTCCTTGAGGGTAGGAACCATTTCCTGAGCGTTTTTACACCCACTGAGCAGTGACACCGACTTAACCTCCAGTGCAGCTACTTAATAAAGCTGAAAGTCAAAGCCAGCTGGGAGGGGGGGACGAGCCAGGCTCGGGGCACTCCCACGCAAAGCGGGCTCATTCCACCAACGCCAACTGGGGACGTCATGGCCATCATCCCTGCAGGCTAACGGTCCCACTGAGGGTTCGCTGGGTGCTATCTCCCACCGAGCCCCTTGCTGCGTTGAGACGAGTGGAGCACGGCAGAGCCAGGCTGTGGCAGCAGCCCTGAGGGCCCTGGGACATGCGTCCTGCTCAGGGCTCTGGCAGACAGCAAGAAGCCAGCGCCGCAGCAACAGGGAGCTGGCTGGGTCCAAGGCCTGTCCCCAGCACCACAGCTCAGGGCCCAGGCCGGAGCACGGCCCAGCCGCCAACCTGTCCTGCGACCTGGGATAATTTCTCCCTCCCTAGGAGACTCGGTTCCCCACAGGTAAGCTGTGGAGGGTGTACTTGCTCCGGAATACTTTCAGCTCGTTAAATCCAGAAGGACCCAACAGATTAGCTGAGGTTTGGCCAACAAAGGCTAATGCTGCCGGCACGGGGTCAGGTGAGGAAGGTGAAGGGGATTTAGTGCGGGCCCACTAAGCGCCCTGTGCTCTCCCTGGCTGGATGCACCGACCTCGTTTGCCAACTTCACCCCACACTATAAACCCATTTTGCAGGCGGCGCTGAGGCCTAGCAGGACTGCACTAACCCCAGGGAGGTAGGGAGCTGGTCAACCCGACCCGCCTGCCCCATCACCCAAGGACACTGGTCTACAGACCGACGAAGGGGGTTCCTGGCTCCAACGCTCACCTGGGAAGGCGTTGATGTCGATGACCGCGTGCTGCCCGGTCTGGTTGTTGATGATGATGTCAATCCCGAAGAGTGACACACCCAGCGCCTGCCGAAGGGCCCGGGACAGCTCCCGGATGACCTCGTCGCTCGGCCGCTCGAACACGCCCTCGATCTTGTCCAGCTGTGTGCACACACACACACAGACACACAAACGGAAGTCAAGTCAGGCCATGGGTGGGGAGGTGCAACACCATACCACACACAGAGACCCTGCTCAGGTGCCCCAAAGCCTGGCCTTCCCCTCTGGAAGGGGGCAGGACAGACCCCTGGAGGGCAGCACTCACACGGCCACTCCCCAAGTCCCACCAGCTTCTGGGCAGGTACTAAGTGTCTAGTCCCTGTAACAACCCAGAAGGACGGCCCCACACTGCTGGTCTCCCGCTCTAGTCCCAGCCAGCCTGGGACAGGCACACGGACTCAAACTTGGCCCCTGGAAGGGCCGCCGAGGAAGGGGAACCTCGGGAAGGATTGCGGATCGGGGGATAGGGATTTGAATCCTAACAGTGACTTTCTACTAGCTCTGGGGTCCTAGGGAAAAGTACTCAGCCTCACTGTGCCTCAGTTTGCTCATGTGCAAAACAGGACCAACGAGGCCTCTCTCCTCTGCTGGTCACTGACGTGATGGGAACAGTATCGGCCTGGTCGGAAGGAGGTGCTACACCTGCATTTAGGGCAGGGAGGGCCCTGTGTTGCCTCTGAGTCTGTCAGGGGGAGGTTACAGGAGGTGCCCCATAAATACTGGACTCCTGAGTCCGGGGGGCCTTGGGGCTCAGAAGCCAAATGGGAAGAAGGGTGGTCGACCCATCAGAAATAAAAGTGAAGCTGGGTCAAAAACTGACACACAGAATTACCATGTGACCAGCAATTCCTCTCCTGGGTATGTACCCAACAGACTGAGAACAAGTACTATGCCAACGTTCACAGCAGTACTCGCAACAGCTAAAGGTGGAAACAACCCAAATGTCCATCAACACACGGACAGACACACAAACTGTGCTTTCCACAGGATGAAACGTTATTCGGCTACACAATGGCACAGAGTGGGTGAACCCTCAAAACATCAGGCCAAGCGTAAGAAGCCAAACACGATGGTCACGCACGCTGTATAACACTGCTCATATGAAAGGTCCAGAACAGACAAGTTCATCGAGACGAAAAGCAGATGCGTGGTCACCAGGGGTTGAGAGGAAGAGGTTGCCAAGGGGTGACTGCTTAATGGGTACAGAGTTTTCTTCCGAGGTCGTGAAAATGTTTTGGAACATGATAGAAGGGGGTGATTGCACAAGGTGAACAGACTGAACGTCACTGAACTATTCACTTGAGAATGGCTATATTGTATCTTATGTGACTATCACTCAATCAAAAAAATAAAAATAAAGCTAAGTCAGGAGGGCTGAGGACAGAGCCCTGGGCACAAATGGCCCTTCCCCCAGCACAGGTAGCTAGAACGGCCGCTGGGGAACCTGCAGACACATACAGAGCAAGGAGCCCACACCAGGGCACCATCAGCAGCCCGCTGTGAAAGCCACGCCCGCGGGCTCTGCGCAGTTGGCAGGGCCCCCGAGCCCACGACCCTGCTGCCTCGGCGTCCTAGCAGAGGAAACACCTCGTAAGGGGCAGTCCCGGCCTGGCTGGGACAAGCCCTTGTCGCTGAGCACCTGCCCAAGCCCGGACCCGCCTCGAGGTCACTCTCGCCAGTCAGAGGCTCAAGCCGGCACGGCAGCTCGGCCACTGGACCTGTGGCCCGGGGTCCTCCCCAAGTCAGAGAGAGCCAGGCAGACGCCTTGGCACAGCCCACTCGCCCCTGCAGGCCCTGAGGCATCATGTACACTTCTGGGCCTTGTTTTCTCGCTCCAAGAAATGGGGTGATAAAATCACGTGCACCGCAGGACGTAGGAGCCAAGAGGCTTGCACCCAGGCGTGCTGGTGAAGGGGACTGACTCCAGCTGCTGTATTATCACCAAGTCTCCTAACACACTGCTCAGAAAAGCACCTTCTCAGCTCAGCTAAGGCATCTCAGAAATCCTTCTGAAGGTGTTCGATGATCTTAAACTAAATAGCCATCCTAGGACAAGGTAAAGGCACAGAGATCCTGCCCCTGGGTTGTGAACATGAAGACAATGACGATGCTCTGGGAAATGGGGAGGCGATGGAGGAGGTCACTAACTCCCCGAATACCCTGACCAGCCTGCGGGGCAGGAGGGGGAAAGAGAGGCTCAGTGAGGCAATGTGACTCCCAGGCCACACATCTGAAGCCTGGTGGAGCTCGGGGCTGAGGCCACCTAGTCTCGTCAGGGTCCACACTCTTCACCACTACCCTAGGATAGCAGGGTGTGGGGGCCTGCAAGTCAGGTGTGGGAGTGGGGTTCGCCTTCAGCGGCCTCCAGAGGGGGAGGAAGGCGGGGCTTCAAGGCCAGGCCAGGAGGCCCCGATGGGGACTGGAGGAACCCCTGGTGGGAGGGAGGAAGGCAGGAGGGGCTTACGTCTCCCACAGAAAAGGGCATGGCTGAGCGCACTTCTCTTGTTCTGTTTTTTTAAAGAGTTTATTTATTTGACAGAGAGAGACACAGCGAGAGAGGGAACAGAAGCAGGGGGAGTGGGAGAGGGAGAGCAGGCTTCCCGCCGAGCAGAGAGCCCGATGCGGGGCTCGATCCCAGGACCCTGGGATCATGACCTGAGCCGAAGGCAGACGCTTAACGACTGAGCCACCCAGGCGCCACCTCTCTTGTCTTGTTTTACGGGGTGTCAGTTCTGGGGGCTTCCTGAAGGGCAGTCAGGAGCTGAAGGGAAGGAGGAAATGAGGGCGGACCCTACAGGTGGAGAGGAGGCCCAGAACTCTCTCGAAGCTTCTCAGCTTTCCTATTTCACAGATGAAGCACCAGGCTGAGCCGCAGACAGGTGATTATCTAAGAAGATTACCTGGGACCCTCTGGCATCAGTGAACAGCCCTAGGGGCTGCTAGAGCGACACAGGGACTGGCAGGGGCAGTGTCCCGGGAAGTCTGTGGAATGCCCCCCTGCCCCCCCACAAGGTCACCAGCCAAACAAGGTCTGCAACCCTCTCAGGGAAGAAGCCCTGTGGAACTGGGTCTAAAGTCTCTGAAGGTTAGAAGACCAGCACCCCTTTGCTTGCACGAAACAGCTTTTTGTATCTTACGTGCTGCACACAGCCAGGCGCTGAAAGATTCTGGCTTAAAATCTGGTTGTTCTCAGGGTGCCTGGGTGGCTCAGTCATTAAGCGTCTACCTTCAGTTCAGGTCATGATCCCAGGGTCCTGGGATCGAGCCCCGCATCGGGCTCCCTGCTCCGCGGGAAGTCTGCTTCTCCCTCTCCTACTCCCCCTGCTTGTGTTCCCTCTCTCGCTATGTTTCTCTGTGTCAAATAAATAAAATCTTTAAAAAAAAAAAAAAATCTGGTTGTTTTCCAAGCTTCCCTGACCACAGCACTTGTTCTGGGGAACGTCTCTCAACATCTTGAGGGACACTGGTGCTCCCTCCCAGTCCCAGGCCACGCCTGTGCTCTGTCAAACCCTCAGCACACAGCTGGCTCCTCAGAGGAACCAGACACGAGAAATGAACAGACGGCCCGGGGGGGTGGGAGGGTGGGCAGGAGGTGATAGGCAAGTGCATGCCCCCAGTACAGGAAGGGGGGAGTAAGGCCCAGGGGCAGGGGCCTAAAGTGGATGCTGTTGGTGAGAACAGCCTAGGACAAGGAGGAGGACACAGGCAAATCCTCCCAGATTAGCCAGCACGGCCATGACTCAGGAGACGCAGCCCAGGGCTCCAAGGTCAGGGGAAGGGGCAGAGGAGACCGCCGGCCCGCTGGACTTGAGAGGGACGGCAGAAGCTGCCCTGTGACAATTTCTAACTCTCTGCTCTGGGCAAACCCTGCTCTGCCAGTACCAGTGAGGGAAGAAGTCCTAAATTCCCAAGAGACCCAGCTTTGGCATCAGACCAATCTGGGGTCATGGGCCAGCATGGCCCCTGAGTGAAGAGCCCTGTGAGTCTGGAGAAGTCACTCAACCTTGCTGAACATGAGCCTCCCCAGTCCGGAAAACAGAACTGTGTGCCCTGCTCCCGCAAGGGCGAGTCGGGGCCCAGGCGTGATGCCGCGAGGCGTCTAGGATGGTGCCTGTCACACAGCAACGTTCCCGGAACCCGCCCCAAGCCTGCCTACCCCGTGGGCCACCCCCGCGGAGGTACCAGCCAGCCCTTAACAAACGCTACTGGATTCACGCAGACGTGGAAAGAGAAAGGAAGACGGACGTGCTGTTGCCTCCCACCCCTTTTTTTTAAATCAGGAAAAACGCAGATTAGCAAGCAGGTCTGCAAATTCCTCGTGACTTGGGAGGAGGGTGGGGAGATCCTCACTCTGGGAGAAGAGTTAGAAAATCTTCCCTCGGGAGTAAGCTAATGCTCTGCTAGAGCTCAGCCCTGGGCCCCACCGCGAGCAGCACCCGCATACCCAGGGTCGGGAGGGAAGGCCACTATGGCAGGAGGAACATACCGCGGTCAGGACCGATGAGGACTCCGGCTTCGACACGTTGTGGCTATTGAAGAAGATGGACTCCCGGTCTGAAAAAGCAAAGACAGGAAGGAGCCGGAGTTAGCTCAAGGCAGAGAAGGTGACTCCACCAACCGACACCAGGGGGCAGCACCACTCCAGCCACAGTCTCCGCAGCCTTACGGTTCGGCATCCAGTAGCAGCCAACCTGGGGCCCCAGTGAGCCGGGCACCCCCACGCCAAGGAGACACGGCACCATGACCGGAAACATGTCCACTGAGGGCTCCCATTTCCCATACAAAAATAATTGCCTTAATGAGCCTACCTCTGCTACCATCTTATAGGATCCTATCTGGTTTTCCCCAACACCCAAGGCCCCATTCCAAAGTGTGTCTAGTGTGTCTTATGGACATGGCACTAGAAAAGGGGCTAAGAGGATGTCGTGGTGGCTGAGTGAGTGGGAAACGCAGTGTACCGGAGTATCAAAGGCCCGAAGTCAAGAGGTCCGGTGAATGCTATTTAATCCAGTATTTTCAGCCCCTCCCAGTATGTGACCATGGAACTCCTTTTCAGCATAGCACTTGAGAAATGCCCAAGCAGCCACCTGGCACATGAGTGTTTAGAATACAAAGGGCTCTGCTGTTTCCTAAATACATAGGGGAAAAAATAGGAAATCGGAACATGGGCTTTTATAGGATCCATCCAAGAAAAGTATACAGAACAATTTGTCTGGCTTTGGAAGCTGGCACAGCCCCCCTGAAACACCTTCCACCTCCTCCCACACCATACTTCCTGATCCATGTCTGCCTCCCACCATACCCTCAATCCCATTGGGGCACCACCCAGATGGGCAGACCGATCCCAAGAATAATGAGAGCAATAAGCAGCTGGTTTGTCTATCCATCCCATGGAGTGAGGTTGGTCGGTCACACGTTCTCAAGCACTTGGAAGCATGGGCACAAGAATGCAAGAATCACAAAACCGCGAGCTTCACCACCCCATGCCCCCCACCAAGAATGACATGGAGATATCCTGGGCCATGAGCCCCTACGTGGCCCTGGCAGCCTCTGCTTCAGTCCCTCCAGGATGGGGCATCATGGCTCCCGTTCCCAGGACACACTGCTCATCTCTGGGACCCAGGCCCCTAAGTGCAGGATAGGAAGGGCCTTGGTTGAGCACCATGGTGTGGAGGGGCCAGGCCGCAGGGGGCACCTGCTCTGATCGCCAAGGACCCCCACCAGCTCCAGGATTACGGTGCCGCAACAATCATGCATGAGAAAGTGATTCGGGCGGAGGCCAAGCAGGCAGGTGCTGAGATGTACCTGGCGTCCTTCCCGCTAAGGGGGCACACAGGCCCCTTGCCGCCCCGGTGTACCCGACAGTCCTCCCGCCGCTCCGACCAGAGCCAGTCCAGACGGGGGGCACGAGAGACGGTCCTGGGGAGGAGCCTGGGGAAAATAAACACCCTGCAGGACTTGCGCCAGGCAGCCCCACCAATCTCTACTCCTGGGCGCTGACAGCCAAAAAGAGTGAGCCTTGAGGGGTGGCAAGGCCGGCGGGCCAGAGGACAGAGTGGGGATCGGGCAGCTGGAGTGGGGGATTCTGGCCCTCTGTAGGCACTGCCCACCTTGGCCCAACCCCACCAAACTCAGGGTGCCTCCCACCCACCCCGAGGGTCCCCAAGGGTGGCAAAGCAAGCCTTGGTAAAGGGTGGTAAAGGGCCATGCAGAGCAGGCAGACACAGCCAAGTTCAGGGAGGCTGGGAAGCCTGCAGGAGCCACAAGGCAACACCATGGGTGTTTATGCCAGGAAGGCAAGAAGCTGGGCACTCAGAAGGGCACAGCCAACACCTGCTGAACTGGACAGATCATGTCACCCAAGAGCTCCCTGCGGCAGGAAGACCAAGTCACACACGTGGACCATTTCGAAGGAGACCGCTTCTCCTCCCGGCTAACTCTGACCCGAGGGCTCTGGCCAGAGGACTGGTGAGCACTGGCGGTGGGGGAGGGGGAGCCATCCTCTGCTCACATCCTACGTGTGTCTGGCTTGAGCAGGGGCCACAGGGCGTGTGGGCAGCTTCCAGCCACTCCCCGACCCCGGAGACCGGGAAGCCGAGACGGGTCAGAATGGGTCACACATCCTTTGATGCCAACTCCTCGGGGAGCTTTAAGAGACCCAGTCCCTCTAAAGATGAAGCTGGCTAGGCCCTGGCACCCTAATCACAGGAGCACTCTGGATCTGGGGCCCCAGGCATCCCCCATGTCCACAGCGGTCCTGAGACACACAGCCTGAGTGAAGAAGCCCCACCAACACCCTGCGGGGGCGGGAGAGCAATGAAGGGAATAGGGGTGCCGTGGCCCCCAATTTACAGATGAGAAAGAAGAGAGTCCATGACCAGCTTAATACCCCAATACTGCAGTAACTCAGTAGTCAGGAGAAGCGGCCACTCACTCTTCTGCTCCGTCTGCCTCATCTCCACGCAGGTCTCGGGGCCGGGGAAACAGGTCACAGCACTGCAGACGGGGGCCCAGATGCTCTGCCAGGTCCCATACGTGTATCCGCCGCACAGAGGGGCGGCCCTGGCTGCCCTGTCCAAGGGGCTCCCTCAGCCAGTGGCAGCCCCGGACCCCACTGCTTCCTCTGGAGCCCTTCATCTATGCCATGATGCATCTTTTTATTATTTCTTTGCACATGGGCGCTCTCTCCCATAGAATGCGAGCACACGGGGGCAGGGTGCTTGGCTGACTATCTCGTTCCCTCCCGGATCAGTACCTGGCACAGGGCTGGGCAGCTTCAAGGAGATGCGGCATCTACGGAGAGGCTGCAGGTGGCAGGTCAGCAAACCAGAGCCGGGAGGCCAAATCCGGCCTATCACCTGCATTTGTACATACAGTTTTATGGGACCACAGCATGCCCAGCTGCTTCTACACTGTCTACAGCTGCTTTCATGCTCCAAGGGCAGAGGTACATAATTACGACAGAGCTGGATATTCTCACTATCTGGCCTTTTGCAGAAAAAGTCTGCCGAGCCCAGCTCTATGTGCTAAGTGATGCCGTTCTTTTATGGACCCCAAGGGAAAAAGGCCCAGAAAGGAGAGGAGAATAAAGGCACTAGTCCTCACAGTCAAGAAACAGAAGTAAATCCACCGAACAAAAGGGGGAGCGGAGAAACGTGCCCATCTGGATCCTGGCCCTGGGGAGAGAGAGGGGAGCCATCTCCCCAGCTGTGAACGAAAGGCAGAGAATGTGTGCTCCTGGTGGCTGGCGCAGGATACCACCAACCCTCTCAGTAAGAACCTGACTTCCATTCCAGCCAAGGCAAGCGCGAGATGCCACCGGCCCTAGGACACACCTGACTTCAGAGATGCCATCCAGTAAACACGAAAAATGGCCCTGAGAATCAACAGAGCACGGCAGTTAAGGAGGGAAGGCTAGTGTCCCTGGCTGCCCTCCCCGAGGTCCTGAAGAATCCCACTCAAGAGCCACAGCTCCCTGCATGGACAGGGGAAGCTGCAGGCCTGCCGTGCTAGACGAGAACCAGAAAGCCAGGGTGGGGGCTAGAAAGAGCCCAGAGCCCCCAAAGCCCCCCTGCTCAATTGGTCCAGCTTAAAGGACCACTGTCGATTTATGCTTCTGATCCGGAAAGCACACACGTATCAAGAGAACAAAGCCCACGCCAGCTCCCTGGCATGATGCCCCAAAGGCTGCAGACATGAAACCAGCTTTGGGGATGGATGGACGAACACGCTGAAAGTTAGGTCAGCTTATCTGAGCACAATAAACATTTCGGCATTAGCTCTGTGTGCTTATCTACTCATTGATTTGGCCCCAGCTGACATTTTATGGAAAACCGGCAAGCTGGAAATGGTCAGAAGACACACAGACATGGAGCCCGCACCCTCAAGACACAGGACAGAGAGTCCACACCCTGCTGCGAAAGGCTCCTGGTGCTGAGACAGAAGCTGGCCCAGCACTTTGCAACCAGGAGGAAAAGGAGAAAAAAAAAGAATACTTTTTGTCTCCAAAGGAAGAAAACCTGGTGATAAATTCCTTTTACAGGCAGAAGAATTTTGGTAAAGGAAAAAAAAAAAGAAAAGAAAAGAAAGGGAGCTACATAAGGTATACCACTCTTAATTTAACACATTTTCCAAAGACTTAAAACATAGTATTTTTTAAAAATCAGGAAAATAATAGAGGATTCTTTTTTTTTTTAAAGTCTCTTGGGGAGCCTGGGTGGCTCAGTTGGTTAAGCGTCCGACTCTTAATCTCCACTCACGTCTTGATCACAAGATTGTGAGTTCAAGCCCCAAGCTGGGCTCCATGCTGGGCATACAGCCTACTCTTCCAGTCCATAATCTGTAAGAATGCCTCTTGCTGGTATCCAGTCACACACAAAAAGACGACCCCCCCTCACCCCAGTCCGTGGTCCTCTCACCCCTAGATCATTCCATCATCCCAGTGTGCTGGGGCTGGGACCAGGGTGACAATGGGGATGTCCCAAACCCTGACACTGCAGCCTCGAGTCCTGGGGCCCCACACCCGACGAGGAGGCTGCCTGCACCCAGAAAGGAAGTGAAAAATCGATGCACATTTCCAAAGTATCTGCTCTCTGTGTTCTGTTAATGGGAAGAAAAAAGCCGTCCAGGGAAGAACAGCTGAGAGAGGAAGACAAGAACAGCTGAACTTCATTCGAGAAGTGGCTTAAAGCCACCAGGAGCGGATGGTGACAGGCAATCCCAGCAGGGGAGACTTTTTAAGAAGACACATCTGTTTGCTCAGATGGAGACAGAACAGCCCGGTATTTCAATACATCTGGTGATGGCTGGGTTCCCTTGCAGAGATAAATGTACGGCGTGTTTGAGCAAACCACATGAGGACAATCAAATATCCTCCAAGGGGTCCTCTCAGAAAGCTCTGCTTATTTCAAAGACGCTGTTACTCTGTGCCAAAGGTTTCTGGAACTTGCCTTAGAGATGCCTTCAGAACCCCCAGACATTCTTTTGAGCAGCCCCAACACGAGCAAATCCTTATCTTAGTGTCTGTTTTTGAAAGGGCCAAGGGCCACCTGGTGTCAGGAGAGCAGCTAAAAAAAAGTTGAGTTTGTGGAGCCCCTCAGCCTCCAATGACAGCAGCATCCTGCAGATACCGCCACCCTGTGACACCTGAGGGATACCCGGGATCCGAAACACTCGGACTCAGTCCTCACCCCTGCAAAGAGGGGGCCTGGTGGGGGTGACTGCCCACATGTACCTGGCGGAGGTCCCACAGCTAGGAAGCGCCATGAACCTGCAGGACTTCGAACGGAGCGCAGAGCCACCTCAGTGGCTGCAGAAGCGGCTAGTAACTCAGTGTTTCCCCATTTGGAAAAAGGGGACCTGATAAAGCAGTCAGCACTCTGGCCCTCAAAATACGAGGGGCCCTTTCCCAAACTCACTTCCCTGAAGGGCCCATCATCCATTCTAGCATGTTCCTCATGAGTCTCATTTCTGTGTGGGGCCCCAGGAAGCATCCTGGTATTTCAGATGGATGGAGACCCTACAATGACCTGGTGGGATGGGGTTTCACCTTGTTCTCCGAGACCTCCCCACCTACTGCATGCAACTCCTTCAACCTTCAGATCAGCCCATCCCCGCCACCCCCCCACAAAGTAACACAGGGTGGCAGTGGAAATGCTGTAGGACCGACGGCTGATGCCTGTCCCAGCTGGGCCCCCGAGACGGCAGAAGGCTTGGTTACCTGACGTGCCCGCAGAGAAGTTCTTCAGCGAGGGCCTCTGGACGACAGTGTAGGATTCGCCCACCACAAACACCTTGTACAGGACGGCGTTGTGGTTGATGAAGTTCTGGACCACACAGGGTGGCTGGATGGCACTCAGGCCCTCCTGGTTGAACACGATGGCCATCTGTGGGGACAGGGGGCCAAGGGCTGTCAGAGTCCACTACCTACTCAGTCTTAGACACAGGGGCACGTCACCAGTCCAGAGCTCTGCTACCAAGGACCATCGCTGTGAACCGAGGACTCTCCATGAAAAATCTCAAGCCAGGGTGAGTGGAGTGAGACTTGAGAAGAACACCTGGGGATCAATTCACTCCTACTCTGGGGGCTTAGAAATCCTGCAACATCAGGCTCTCCCTGTAGGGTTGAGCTGGCTGTGCACTGCACAACTCCTCTATTCACACTGTGATCCAGGAAATAGGACCCCCAGTTGTATACTACGCATTCTTTATGACCTCCTTAGAGGTTTCTCCACAAAGATCCAGGTGAGGCAGGAAGTGGAAGGCAACGGATCGGGAGTTGGGAGGCCTTGAGTCAAAATCCGTATGTGGACAAAGGCTGCCTCTGGTTGCCCACTCACGACATGCCCAGCCCTGTTCCGACCGCTTTATGTGAGTCACCTGGTGCTGTCCTCACAATGCACCTCTGAGGGGGGCACTATTCTCATGCACCTTTTACAGACAAGGAAACTGAGGCCCTAAAAAGCTCAGTGGCTTGTTGGAAAGTGACAGAGCCCAGGATGGGACTGAGTCTGCCCAGCACGCAGCCTTGGCCTCTGACACGCAGAGTAAGCTACACGGAGGCTTGAGGGACAGGAACATGCTGCTCCCAGTCCCTGACTGTCTGAGGACAAAGGTCCCCCCTGGAAGGATCTGGTAGGCCACTAAAGCAGGGAGAGCAGAAGGGCAGCTGGAGAAAAATCTCTGCTTGGGCCGTCAGCTGCCGGTCTGGGGCCACGGCTAATCCCTTGCAGCCCACAGGCCCCAGGAAGGAGCCACCAGATGCCCAGGACTCGGGGCAGGAATGTCGGAGCCTGGACAGCTGGCTGCCTGCGCCGGCTGCCGCCCCTGGCATCCACGGTCGTAGAGCACCACCCCAACGTTCCTGGTGCTTAGCCGCACGGGGCAGAAGCAGAGAAGCAGGCCACGCAGGGAAACAGACCGTGCACGCACTGCATGTACGTGTGTGTGTGCACGCGCCACAGGGACCGTCCCCTTAGCCTTCTGCCGAGGAAGGGAAAGAACACAGGGGGCTCTGGAGCCAGACACGGGTTTAAGTCCTAGCTCCAGCGCCCAGCCACCAGAGTGCGGGGGGGGAACTTGCTCCATTTTCCCCACTTATAAAACAGCAGCAGTAACTACCACAGGATAGCTTCAGAGGTGCTTTGGGCTTCTGGCTCAGGGGTTCAACTCAGAAGCGGGGGTTGGTAATTTCACTCTAAGCAAATCAGTGTGCTTGCCCTGGTTTAAAAACCAAACAAAAACCCAGGCAGCTCTGTGAACACACAATGAAAAGGGAGTAGTTTGGCCAAACTAGTTGGGTTTCACTGAGCTTGGGGCTGGGGGACTCAGAGAGACCTCAGTAGAGGTGAGGACCCTAATCAGAAAGCCTCACTTTGCTGTCTAAAACCAATCATGTCCATAGAGCTGTCCTCTATCCTCGCTGCACTCAACATCCCCAGGCACCCCTAGAATAGGTGAGGAGCCCTGCCCCCCAACCTCCAGACTCATGCTGTGGGGGGCGCCCCACCCGAGGGGGCAGCCCTGTGACGTGAAAGCCTCCCAGGAGGCAGGCGGCCTGCGGCACACACCAACTCCCTGGGAGCCTCCAGGTTCCAACCCTGGAGGCTCCGTTCCCAACCGCCCGCTCAGGAGAAGAGGAGCCCCTCCCTGGCACAGCACACTGTGGGTCGGGAGAGACAGGGATGCACATGTGTACATTTTGGAGCCAGATTCCAACAGCTAGACTACGGGATGAAAGCCTCCCCGGAACACAGCGACCCCAGACGTGAGGGTCGAGACTCCTGCCAAGGAGGGAGCTCACTTGGATCCGAACACCCCCACCGTTCTGCAGTGACCTGGCAGGCTCCATACCTGGTTCCCTCACAGCGCACCCAACGCTTTCTGCGCCAGGCCCCACAGCAGCACGGGCAGCAAGCCCCTCCTCCTCCTCAACCACCATCACATCCCCACTTCCAAGTGCGGACAGACACTCAGAGAGGTTGGGGGATCTGCCCAAAGTCACACAGTTGGCAGTGCACAGAGCCAGACCTGCTCCCAGGTCTGTATGAGTCCAGAACTCTCTCACGGAGAGAAGCGGTTACTCTCCTGCAGGCTGAGCTTTTCTGCATCAGGAGGGTCTAACCACGCTAATAGTGACTAGAGCCACCCTGCCAGTCAGAGAAGCGCAAGGCGCTGACCCACAGAGGGACCGGGTACTAGTGAACAGGGCAGGTGGGAGGTTGGCGGGCAGGTGCTGTGGGGGCAGTGAGAGCATCTTTCCAGCTCACAGCACGCAGAGGGGCCCGGTGCAGGGCCCGGCATAGAGCGGGCGCCCAGGGAGTGACTGACAAGCCAGAGGTCGTAAAGCCGGACAGGTCAAACTGCAGTAGGATCTGCAAGGGCTCAGAGGGGGCAGGCAGACCCCTGGCACACGCCTCCCACCCTTGGCGACAGGCCAGGCATGGGCAGAGGCTGGCGACAGTGTGCAGAGCCACAAGCAGGGGCAAGACAGGGAGCGGGAGCAGCAGGGGTGGGATCTAGCACACAGACTCTTGCGGGCTCCCAGAGGGACACTGTGAGCTGGAAAGACAGGGGCACGGGGGGAGGAAGTGGGGGAAGAGGGCAGTCAAAGTTTCTGCTTACCTCGTGAGAGTTGGTGCCATGAGCCACTCTGGTTTTGCAAACTATGGAGCAGGGAGAGAAAAGCAGAGAGAAATCAGTGAGGTGACTTCCCCACAGAGCCTGATCTGGCAGACATGGGGAGAAATTCCTGAAACTCCTGCAGCCCGTGGGGATAAGGGGCAGTGGGGAGCTAGGGAGACAGGCTGGCTCAACGGTGGCCAGCATCCGCACTCAGGGTGGTCTGGACAGACGCTGCCGGGCCAGCAGAAGAGCACCTCCAGCCCACACCACCTGAAGACCCATCTCCACTGTGCAGGCGGGAGCGGGACGCGGGGCTCAGTCCTCCCTGGCAGCCAAGGCCCTCGTGTGTCCCGGGGAGCCACAGACAGGCCCCCACCACCATCCGGCCCATGGCCTGCCGGGCCTGCCGAGCCTGCCCAGCGGGGCCCGGGGCGGTACGCACTGAAGGGGAACGCCAGGCCGTTCTGCTCCAGGAGCCTCATAGTGTCGTCTCCACTCAGGCTCGTGAGCTCCATGAAGGGTGGTGAGCAGATCCTGTCATCTGTGGACAGAGAAGAAGCCCACGTCAGCAGGCCGCCCGCTAGCCCCCAGGCCCACTTTCCTGTGACAGACCCACCTCCCCGGGGCCTCCCTCGGCACCCCTGCTCTCCTGAGTGGACACCCCAGCTCCGCGAGGGCGCAAGCGTGCGCACAGACACCAACAGTAACAGCGGGGTGGTCTTTAATTACGTTTTGTGTTAACATTTCTGTAATTACAGAACCAACGTACGATAAGCATAAAACTTGAAGACCAAAGAAAAGAACCACATGCGCTCACAGATACGACTACTACTGCAACCAAGCCTAGAGGCACGTGCACATGTACGCGCACAGAACTCCACAACCGGATACTGTCTGGGAACCCAAATGCTCACTCAGTAAACTATGAACATTATCTGGTTCAATAAAGCCTTCTCCTACCACACGCCTTACTGGCTTCACGGTAACTGCAGGAGTGACGCTGTGGGGTTAGCTCCGGCCGCGCGTCTAGCACTGTGCTATGGGCTTTGCGTGCACCTCTGAAGTCTGCAGAAAAATCGTATGAGAAGGAAGCCGAGGCTGGGGGGACACCTCTCATCAGCCACTGCCTGCTGGTGTGGCCTCCTGACTCCTTCCCTCCCTCCCTCCCTCCCTCCCTCTCTCAAGCACGCTCAAGGCCCTTCTCCAGCCTCCTGCAGACACACTCTGACCCTGGCCCTGCCCCGCTGCCAACACCTTCTCACACCCTGGCTTGCCTGAGTCCCCGGTTTCAGAGGGGCGCCCATCCAGTGGGTTCTCGGTACATCTGGTTTTTCTGAAAAGCTCTGGGAGCTGAGTCTGCTCTGGTTGTCGGAATGCTCCTGGTGCCAGGCACCGAGTTAGGGCAGCAAAACAGATGATCTGTGGGATAACCAAATGTATTCTGATGCTCCCTACCGTTTGCTAAATTACATTACTGGCTTGTTATTACTGCTTCTTGTCTAGGCCCCTTCTCAGATCAGACCAGCAGCTCCTCAGGAGGTGGGACCACCCTGTACTTCTGAGCATAGGGACAGGGAAAGGTCAGTGTTGGTAAGGTGCCCTCCTCCCCCAAACCTTGGAAAACAAACCAAAAAGTAAAGAAGCAAAGTGGCCTGTCTCCAGGAACTTTGAGCTACTTGGCTGGCTAGAAGGTCAGTACATTAAACCAAGGTAAGATCCAGCCTCATACAGCTCATAAAAATGAATGCCAAGAATTACACAGGGCATATTAAAAGTGTTTTTATCTCTCTCCCCACCCACCTGTAAAATCCAAACTCCATATAGGCGCAGAAGTGTTGGCAGATTTCAGGGGTTGCAGGGCTTCTTGGGGACCACAAGAGGGTGGTTTGGGGACAGTGTTTGCTGAGCCCTGGCAAACGGTGCTACAGGCCCTCCAAACAGAGCATTCATTTAATCCTCAAACTGCTATGACAGTGTCTCTGTGGACAGAGGCCAAAACAGGCCCCAACAAGCAGTCTGCCGAAAGTCACATGACGGTCAATGACAGAGGCAGGATGAGGAGCCAGGTTAAAGGGGAGGCCAGGAAAAGAGAAGTCAGGAAAGTCGGGGTAGGGAGCTGGGGCTACGTGTTGGCTCTCAGCCGTAAGTCACTATCTAGACAAGGCCCCATTCCTGCCCCGCCCCCAAGCCTGGACTCAGAGCCCAGGCGGGGAAGCTTGTTGCTGCGAACACACAGCCCCTGCAGCCCAGACCTGACCGAATGTGACACGCAAGGCCTGAACAAACTGGAGGGTCCTGCAGCAGACAGGTGCTCACCTGTGCCTCAGGCGTGGCCCATCCCTTCCCAAAGGAAGGTTCAGAGACAACTGGAGCCCAACAGGCCACTTCCCGTGACAGCTTCCGGACTCTCCATGAGCAGACGTTTCAGAACAGGTGCATCAGCCTGGCCCTACATTAGCCTTGCAATGCCCCCATCAGTGACCCCTCCCACCCTAGCCCACCCACGCTTTCACATGTCACCAATCATAGCCAAGTGTTCCGTAAACTGCACTTGATATGTGCCAGACAACACCGTCTACAAAGCAATTCAAGCCCCCTCACAAGAGCCCCATGAGAAAGTAGTCACTCCCAGTTTACAGGCGACATCCCCTGCCCAGAGTTACACAGTGAGTATGTGGTGTAGCTGGGGAAGCTCAGACCTGGGAAGCTAGCTCCCTAGCAGAGAAAGTGCTCACTTCATATTAGCAGGATAAAGGACAAAGCTTTTACTGAGATGATCATCTCCAGAAGACTCAGAAAAAGCATTGGGCAAAACCCAATGTCCTTCAGGATAAAGACACACAACAAACCAGGAATAGAAGGGAACTTCTTCAATCTGATTAAAGAGCATCTACAAAAACCACAGAAACATTCTACGTTGGGGTGAAAGACTGGATGCTTTCCCCTTAAGACTAGGAACAAGACAAGGATGTCTGTTCTTGCCACTTCTATTCAACACCGTAGTAGAGGTTCTAGCCAGGGTAATTAGGAGAGAGAATGAAATAAAAAGCCTCCAGACAGGAAAGAGGATGTAAAACTGCTTCTCTATGCAGGTGATGTGATCCTGTTTACAGAAAATCCCAAGGAATCCACACACACAAAAACCCAAAACCTATTAAGATAAATAAGTTCAGTAAGACTGCAAAAGAAAAGATCAATATACACACACAATAAAACAATTATATTTCTATATGTTAGCAAAGAATAATCTGAATATGAAATTAAGAAAATAATTCTACTTACAGTAGCATTAAAAAATAAAAACACTTAAGAAATAAATTTAACCAAAGACTTAAATGCTGAAAACTATAAAATGTGGCTGAAAAACATTCAAGAAGATCTCAATAAATAGGACATCCCATGCTCATGAATAAGACATTTAATATATGAAGCTGGCAACACTCCCACAGTTATCTATGGATTCAGCGCAATCCCCATCAAAATCCCGGCTTTCTTTTAGTGGGAACTGACAAGCTAATCCTTAAATTCATGTAAAAATGCAAGGGACCCAGGAGAGCCAATCTTGAAATCTTGAAAAAGCACAAAGTTGGAAGACTCACACTTCCCAATTTAAGAACTTACTACAAAGCTACAGTAATCATGCAGTATGGTAGTGGTACAAGAACAGACCTACAGATCAATGGAATACAACTGAGAGACCAGAAATAGACCCATCCATCTGGAGTCAACGGACTGTCCACCAGGGTGCCAATATAATTCAAGTGGAGCGGGGAAACGACAGTCTTTTCAACAAATGGTGGTAGGAAAACTAGATATCCATGTGTGAAATAATGAAGCTGGAATCCTACCTCACACCATACACAAGAATTGATTCAAAATGGATCATGATCTAAATATAAGATCTATAACAGTGAAACTCTTAGAGGACAACATGGGTGTAAATCTTCATGACCTTGAGTCACGTAATGGTTTCTTAGATACTAAAAGTACAAGAAACCAAAGTAAAAATAGGTAAATCTGATATCATCAAAATTAAAAACTTTTGTGCTTCAGAGGACATTATCAAGAAAGTGAAAAGACAACCCACAGAATGGGGAAAAATATTTGCAAATCATACATCTGATAAGAGTCTAGTATCCAAACCATATAAAGAACTATTAACAAGCAATAAAAAGACAACCCAAATTTAAAATGGGCAAAGGATTTGGGTTTTTTTTTAAGATACTATTTATTTATTTGTCAGAGGCAGAGAGAGCGAGAGAGAGCAAGCGAGCACAAGCAGGGGGAGAGGCAGGCTCCCTGCTGAGCAAGGAGTCTGATGAGGGACTCGATCCCAGGACCCGGAATCATGACCTGAGCCGAAGGCAGACGCTTAACTGACTGAGCCACCCAGGCATCCCTGGGCAAAGGATTTGAATAGACAGTTCTCCAAATAAGACCTACAAATGGCCCAAGTGCGTGTGAAAAGATGCTCAACATCATTAGCCATCGGGGAAATGCACATCAAAACCACAACGAGGTATTATTTCATACCTACTGAGATGGCTATGATCAAAAAGACAAAAGTGCTGTCATTGCTGGTGGGGAAGTAAAATGGTGCCGCTGCTTTGGGAAAGAATCTGGCAGTTCCTCAAACAGTTAAATATAGAGTTACAATACAACCTAGTAATTCCACTCCTCGATATAAAACCAAAGGGATGGAAACACACGCCCACACAAAAACCTGCCCAGCAATGTCCATGGCAGCATTATTTGTAAGAGCCCAAAAGTGGCAACAACCCAAATGTCCATCCCCTGATGAGTGGATAAACAAAGTGTGATATGCCCATTCAACAGAGTCTTCTTCAGCCAGAAAAAGGAATGAGACACGCTATAACATGACCTTGACAACAGAACGCTTAGCGAAGCTAAGGAAGCCAGTCACAAAAGCCACATAGTATGACTTCATTTATATGAAATGTCCAGAATAGGCAAAGCCAGAGAAACAGAAAAGAGACTGGTTGCCAGGGGCGAGGGGACAGGGGGACGGGGACAGACTACAGACGAGTTTCTTTCTTTCTGGGGTGATGAAAATATTCTGGACTTAGACAGTGGTGTTGGTTGAGCAATCTGGGGAATACATTCAAAGCTACTGAATTGACTGTATGTGTACTTAAAAAAGGTGGATTTTATGGCATGTGAATTTTATCAACTTAAAAAAAAAAGAAAGAAAGAAAAATCCCCCAGCAGTACCAACAGCTGTCATCCCTCAAGTGCTGGCTCTCTGCGGACACTGGGTTGAACAAATGCTTCATGTACGGTGTCTCTTTCAAGCCTGCAGAGTCCTGTTGCTTGTCCCTACGCCCGTCCAGGGTGGACTCGGACAAGGACAAGGTGAGTGCTCCCCCCAGAGATGCTTGGGGTCCAGGTAAGAAGCAGAGATGAGACATTTCCAATGAATGGGCCACATCTAGCATTAGGCCAGACAACCCCACCTTTCTGAAATCCCAGGTTTTGGTTAAGAAGCAGGGCCCAACACGGAACTAAGGTGGCGAAGAACCAAGTGCACCAAGGAAGAGGGGCACATGCACACTGTCACTGTCTTGCTCCTTCCTCCTAACCTGGAGCCTGCTGACCACACCCTGAGAAGAAGGCCCGACTGGCTGCCTACCCCCACTCTCACTCCGGAGGAGGGGCCGGGACGGAGACTGGCCCCGTCGCACCCAGGAAGGGCCCACAGTTGAAGCTCAGTCACCCCCAAGAGGCCAGCACTGGGTGAAGGTGGTCCCGGGCCTGCACGGCAGAGGCAGGAAGGGACCCCTGTCCCTCACCAGGCCACGGCTGCTCCGTGCCCCAGGCCTGCCCCACTCTGGACCATGATGTCTTAACTTCTTGACCCACTTTCTGACTACTTGGAGCCAAAACCATCCTGCCGGTCTGTGAAATCACAATAAATTAGAAACGACTCCTGTTCCTATTTTGGTTTCAATAACCATTCACCACCAATGGCAAAAAAAAATGTGTTGAGGCTCTGCTAAATGCTAGGAGCTAGAGACACAGCCTGCCCTCACGGAGCTTACGTTCCCAAACAAGAAACCAGACTGACAAGTAGAACGTAGAGCTAGAAGGGAGTGAGGTCAGGGAGCGGCTCGAGGGACAAAGACAAGGGAAAGTGAGCGGGCGGCCAAGGCGATGCATGTGGGGTCAGCGCGCTCCCAGCAGAGGGAACAGACCATGCAAAGGCTCTGCGTAGGGACGTGCTGCGGCCTCTGCACAACCCAGCCCCAGCCTCTGGGAGGAGGACGCGGACATCCATCTAGCTCTCAGACACTGAGGCCTCCTGGCTGGTGGGAGGGCCGGGGAAGGAACCTGGTCCCCGTGACAAGAGCCAGCGCCCTGGTGGCAGCAGACGTGCCAGCCCCACCACACAAGGGATGGCGGCAGCGCAGGCGCGCCCATGGGAAACTCTCAACATCGCCAGCAGCTTTCCCCCCGAAGAGAGACAGAGTGAAGACTCTTTCTCTAAGTCAGCACTGGGAGCCCGGGGAGCTATTTATGGTTCCCAGAAAAAGCCTACTGTTGCTTATTTATCTATCATCTTTATTTCTGGATGGGAGTTGGAAAGACGCTTTTTTTAGTCGGATGGTGGGTTATGTTCTGTGAAGAGCTGAAAACTTAGCCCCTGGGAAACTGAAACCCCGGCCCCGTCTTCCCTCTGGGCTGCTCTCATCACAGAATGGGAAGCTGGGGGCCCTCAGAGATGAGCAAGTCCCAACCATACGTCCACATGTCCAGAGAGGGAAGCGGAAGAGTTCACGGCCACAGGCAAGTTACTGGCAGGTGAAGGGGGAGAACCCAGGTGTCTCGAGTCACACTGCCCCCACTCTGCCGAGTGGTCATGCCCTTATCTGACTAGAGGCAGCTGCTGGAGAGCTCCCCAGAAGATAAAAGACCAACGACGAACAGGTGGATAAAAGAAAAGGTACAGCTAGGAGTGGGGTACAAAGAGAGATGGCACTTTGAAGCCTGACTTTGAACCTGTGATAAATTACTTATCAGCTGTATCCTTTGGCAAGTGACCAAACTCTGCTGGGCCTTACTTTCCCCGTCTGTAAAATGGGAGCGATGTCTCCCTGAAGGGTAGTCAGGAGGCCTGGTACATAACAGGTAGCCCACAGTGGCCAGGCTGGCTGGGGACACCCACGGGGGAGCAGGCAGACGCTGCATCGCGGCCACTGGTCACATCTAACTTCCTGGGGTGTGTCGGGGGCCAGGCCCCATCCGTGGCACCGGCAGAGCAGGCCGTCCTCGTGGCTGTGAGAGATGCCCGGGCAGGGCACTGGTAAGGGGAGGGCGCGGGAGCAGCTGTACCAGGACCCTGCCTCAGTTCCCCTCTCTTGAACAGGTTTAATTTCTTCACCCAGAGAGTATCTGATGAAAAGATGACCCATGGGCAGGGGCAGTCCCCAGGGACATGCAGGGCTGGAATGCTCTGAAGCCTCTGTGATGGGCAGGGCCCCAGGAGCGAACAACACCCAGGAGTCAGGGCTGGGCAGAGGCTAGAAGAGGCAGAAGACAGACCAGGGAGGGGATCCAGGAGGCTGTGCAGCTGGACGACATCATGGGAATGTGCAGGAGAAGCACGTATTACATCTGCCGGTTCGTCTCCCCCCCTAGAACATCAGTTCCATGAGGGCAGGAGGAAGATTCTGGGTTTTGTTCACAGCTGTAGGCCAGTGCCTAGAACACTGCCTGGCACACAGCAGGTCCCCAACAAACACCTGCTGAGTGCATGATCTGACCCGTTGAGTGAAGGGGTCCACAGTGCCTAACACAGAAGGCTGGCTCTTCGGGCATCTGGGCCCCATCTGAACAGATGCAGGGCATGTGGTCAGCGTGTCTGGGCGCGAAGGACCCCGTTCCAGGCCTCGCCTGCCACGCAGGCCTCGCACCACCACGTGGTCACACCCCTCCGCCCCGGACCTCGTTCCACTCAAAAACAAGAAAGCAGTCACATACGACCCTGCTCGGCCTGGCCTTTCTTTCTGAAGGACTTCGCCAGCACAGGCATCCTCTTCGCCTACTTTGGTACGATCGTGACTGGACTCGCCACTGGAATCCCAGCCTTACTGAACACCCGCCGGCAGCATCTTCCCAAGATTCTGCGTATCCCGGTTACCCGCCCGGTGACATTTCCCTGGAGTCAGGCATTTACATTCGTGCCAATTCTTCTCCGTCACACTGGGCTTCGATGACCGCCCCTCGTGTGTAAGGCTTTGTGCGTGTGGCAAATCATGTCCACGTCAAATTCCCAGAAGTGACTTCTGGGTCCGCAGGAATCGACGTTTCTAGGGTTCTTGCCGGTGTCACACTGTTTCCCGAAAGGACAGCAGGATGTCGCTGAGGCACCTGCACTGGACGGTCCTGACCGTGCCTTCTCAGCCCTGGGCAGTCGCACGTTCAGAAACTTGGGCAGTCCTCTCAGGAAGGAAGACAATGGGTGCCACAGGGAACAACCCCATCGCTGCAATACGGTCCCTCTGGGGCCAGCGGGCCACCTGCAACAGTGAGGGAGGCATGAAGACAGCGAGGCTGGCGTGGGGAGTCACTACCAGCAAAAGCTCTGGACCGGGACCTGGAGACCAGTGTGGGATTCCGACAGCTCCGCTGGGCCCTGGGCTCCTGACCGGCAGAATGGGGAGTCCTACTGAGCCAGCCCTGTCGACAAGCTGGCATTGCAGGGAGAACTGAGGACAAGCAAAAAGTGCCATGGGGCCTGCACAAGGCCAAATAAAGAAGCCAGGCCCTCGGGGCAGCAAGGCCCTGTCACGACCACTGCCATCCATTCACACCCTCCTCACTCAGCAAGGGAGGCTCCGGGCCCAGGTGTCACCATGAGCCAGGCAGTGGCACAGGGCCCTTGGCTGCGCCCCGCTCCAGACGGGGACAGAAGCAGAGACCCCGTGCATGCTGGAGGCAAGGCCAGGAGAGAGCGTGTGACTCAGAGTACCAGCCAGCGGACCGGGGCGCCCCAGCATGTGGCTCTGCATCCTGGGAAGACCGGAGGGTCCACGGGAGGAGGCCATGCCGGTGGACGCTGGTGACGCAGGAAGGCGCCGCCCGCACACACCCTCTCGCCTTAGCCAGAGCAGCCGCGCGGACGCGGGTCCGCCTTTCCGGCAGGGTGCAGGCTCCATGAGGGCAGGGACCTTCTCCATCGCGTTCAGGGCCCAGCCCCCAACAAATGAGCAGATGAGGGAACGAAGCAGACCCTGGCCTGGGCTCCCACTGCTCCTGCCCGAGATAAGTGGCCTCTGTCAAATCGCAGTTCCCACAGAGCCTGCAGCATCTCCGCCAGGTGCCCCGCACGCCAGCCCCAGCTGCGGCCACCCGGAGCTGGGCTCTGTCCTGCCTGCCTGGGCCACTCGCCACTCCCAGGGGCTGTCCCGAGCAGGAAACGGTGTGACGCAGGAGTGTGAGTGACAGAGCAGGCACGGGACAAGACGCAGAGGCAGCAGGTCAGGTTCCCACTCAGTCTTCCGAGAGCTGGGGGAACACCAATGCCCGGAGATCTCCGGCCAGGAGCCTCGCACGTGCTGGTCCCTCGGCCCACCGAGCCCTTCCTTCTAGCCCCTTCTTGGCCTGATGAACTCCCGCCTGTCCTCCAAGCCTTGTCAGGCCACCTTCCTGCTCTGGGAGGCTCCCCTGAACACCCCTTCCTGCGCATCCAGGAAAAGGTCCCTTCTGCTGGCTCACCGTGTCTTGGTGGCTGAGGATGTGGCAGCCTCTGCCTCGACTGGGTGCCCCTGGAGGGTCTGCAGGGGACACAGGCTACCTGGGTTTGAATCCCAGCCCCACCTCATGCGAGCTGTGTGGCTCTGGCCGAGTAACCTCACCTCTCTGCCTCAGTGTCCTCACTGGAAAATGAGGACGACACTATCTACCACACAGGGCTGTCCCCCTGCCCGCACATTCAGAAAACGTATTTTAAGTCACGAAATGGCCCTTAAATACAGAATATACGTTCATACTTTTTAACAGTTGCATCAGACCTTTTTTATTTAACAAGAAATAAACTGGCTGATACAGCTAAATCCCAGATCACCAAGTGCAGTGGGGTGTGTTGGGGAAGGAGAGGCTGGTCAACTGCCAAATACATACCCCAAACATGTCCACCATGACACCCAGGGCCAGGGGAGTCATGGAAGACTGCCTGGAGGTGGCAGCCACCACAAATGGCAGCCCAGAAAGCAAAATGCGGTAGCAATAATGAGCATCAACTCTGCAGCCAAGAGCCAGCCCGGTCCCTGCAACCATGCCAGGCCACTGATCCTCTCTGATCCTTTCTCTCACCTGTAAAACGGGACAGCAATGCCGCCCACCTCCCAGAGCTATTAAGGAGACTTGGTGAGGCCATATGCATGAAGGGCATTTGGAAACACTTGAGAACCAGAGTTAGCCCTGTTTCTGCGGACATACTACCCTCCTGCCTCCTCAGGGCACCTCTGCAAGCCCCATCCCTCTGGGAGGGGAGGCTCCAATACCCACCTGCCCACCAGGAGCTCCGCCCCAGGATTTGGGCAGCTGCAGCGGCCTCAGCCAGTCCTCCTGGGACACCGACCGAACAAATGCTGTGGCCCAGCACTGGGGCTTCTCCCAGCTGCCTGACTACATGCTGCTGGAGTCTGGGAATCCAGGAACCTCCTTCTTGGTAGCCTCACCCCATAACCATCTTCTTCCCACCACATCCGCTCTACCCACAAACCACGGATTTCTGGTGCCTTGCCCACCTTATTCACCAATTAATCCAAACCACACACCGGTATTAGATCCTGGGTCATCTTTCTAAAGCACCCACCTACATAGTGAGGCCGCTCTCAGCTCAAGAATTGTCCATGGCTGACTCAAGTCAAAGTCCAAAGCCCTTCCAGGCTTCTGCAACCTGACCCTGCTTAACTTCCTGTTCCGGGCTGGACTGTGTTCCCTCCAAATTCACATGCTGAAGCCCCAACCCCCAAATCCTTAGGATGTGACTGTATCTGGAGACAGAGCCTTTAAATAGGTGATTAGGTTAAAATGAGGTCCGAGGGGCAGGCCCTGATACAATCTGACCGGTGTCCTTCTGAGAAGAGATAAGGACCCAGACACGGACAGAGGGAAGAGCACGCAAGGACCCAGGGACACGGCAGCCATCTGCAAGCCGAGGAGACAGGCCTCCGAAGAAACCAGCCCTGCGGACACCTTGATCCTGGACTTCCAGCCTCCAGAACCATGAACACTTACCAGCAGTAAATGTCGGTTGTTAAGCCAGGTCTGTGGTGCTTTGCTGCAGCTCCAGCAAACTATGCGCCTCCCAACTCCTCCCGGAATACAGAACCCAAGATCCTTCCCAGCCAAACCCTGGCTCCACACGGAGGTCTCACCATCCCCCCCCGCCCCCCCGCCACAAATCTGGGAACGCCCCTCCTCCTACCACTCGGCAATAACCTCTAAGCTCTCCAGAACAAGGGGTCTTGCGCCGCCGCTGCCTCCTCCTAGCAGCACCCCACCCAGAACCTTCCACCGGCAGTCATGCTTGTGGCAGCACCCTCTCTCTCCTGCCCTGCTACCTTGTCTGACCACTCCTCTCTCAGACCCTGTTAAACTTCCACATGTTTGGGTTCTGACTCAGCCAGCAGGCAGTATGTTCCTTGGGGTCGGGATCCGGACCCCCCCAGTCCGGCACTGCCCAGAGGCGGCAGGCGGCAGTAAGAAACACCTCTCCGGCAAGCGCGTGCGTGTGGGATGAGCTGGGAGACAGAATACAAGTGAGCTGTGAGCACTGGAAACAACAGAGAAGGGGGAGCTCGGGCCAACACAGGGAAAGGGGGTGGCCCGCAACTCCCCAACCAGCCGCCACGTGGCGCTGGTCTGGCACAGCCCTGAAGACCGGCGTCGCACTGGAACGGGTAAAGCCCTGAGAGCCTGGCCTGCCAGCCTGCAGAGCCAGTGTTCATGACTCATGTAGCGTCAGACTGTCCAAAGTCACCTTCCCTCTGCCATTAAGCTGTTAGGGGCCAGGGGCCACGTGCTCCTGAGTCCCAGACAGGGAAAGATGTTCCGAGCGTTCTGGGTAAATCAAGTTTCAGCCTGACAGCAGCTGTGAAGGGAACCCAAATGGCTCTTTGGCTCATGATGATGGCAGCCACCCTGTAATGTGGAACCGTCCAGTCATGGGCATGTGGGGGTGGGAAAGCCACCTCAGGCCCGGGCCAGGACACCTGGAAGGGCCCAGAAGACAGGCCCGCGGATGAGAGGAAATGGAAGTGGGAACTGGTTTCTGATCTGGAGCCGGGCCTGGGCCTGCGCCTGCGGAGGGCATTCCCCATCCTCGGCCTGACACCCTGCTCCCGCTGTCCAGAGCATAATGTCCCGTCCACCTGGCCCGGCCAGGAAGGGCTCCAGCACTGTCTTAGCAACCTGCGCGTGCCCTCCCCACAGCAGTGCTCAGTCCTCACCTCCTTGCTCTCCTGGGCGAGTCCTCTCACAGGACAGCCTCACTGCCCAGGTCTCCAACCACCCCGCCACCCCTCCACCAGTGAGTCAGAATCTATTCTTCCTTGTTGCCGACTCCCTCCAGTTGTACCTATGAACCGTCCCTTGCTCTGTCCCCTCTGTCCCTGAACACCTACTTCCATAGTTCATTCTGCATTCCATTTATGGCAGGTGACTCACTTCTCCCTGCAGCCCAAGGGCCCCTTGGATTTGTTGGGGGGATTTGTGTTGGGCTTCAAAGGGGTGGAAACAGTTGGACACCAGTGACATCATCGTTATCTTCAGACCCATTCACAGCCTCAGATGAGATTAAACTAAAATAGTATGTTTTGTTTTGTTTAAGACCGTCGCAGCGCTCAAAGCCAGCGTGCCCTGGGGATGTGGGGACCGGGGAGCCGGACTCATGGAAACCACCTGGGAATCTGCCAGGGCTTCAGGTCGGCCCCAGGAGAAGCAGCTCCTCACCCTCATGACTCCCTGGAGGCTACGGGTATAGGCAGTCGTGGACCAAGTGCCTGGGTTCCAATCCCAAGTCCACGGTCTCATCCTGGGCCACTTCTCCATGACTCAGTTTCCACATCAGCAAGATGGGGATAACACCAGCAGTGACCACACACAGGACCACTGTGAGGACTGAATAAGCCACTGTGAGTCACCATGCTGGGACCGTGTGCGGTATGCAATGAGAAGCATGAGATATGGCTTCGCTGCGATCACTGGTCAAAGTGGGGTCTGCTCCCCTTACTCACTGAGGTCCAGCCAACAGCCTGGGGGCCCATTTTGAACCTACGATGGGTCTAGGGGCTCCTCAGGAGCTAGGACTGTCTCATGACTCCTAAGCATAGGACACAGGTGCCCTT